GATAAGCTGTGGACATGAGCAAAGTAGCTCATGCCTACAGAACCGGCTGCCCAGGAGACTCAGATAAGAAGATCATAGTGAACCCTGGTCCAGTCTAGCCTGGACAACAAAGTCTGATCATATTGCTAAACAAAATGTGGGGAAGGAAGAGAAAGGAGACAGAGATAGTAAACATTCCCCTCAGCCCTCAAGGAATTCACAAACTGGCATAGTTTATAATATTATGAGCTACCTATTATGAAGCGTAACTTACAAAAACAACAATCCATGACACCACTACATGGAGTTTGTTAAGGCAGCATTTAAGGAACCCATTTCTGGATTGACTGGAAAGCACGTGGCGCGGCTATTCACAGATGGAATAATGCAAACGTGTGTTTGTGTGAACTTAACTCTATATCACTGGAGCTGGGCTGAGCGTGGTTTTCTGGGACCGGTAGTGATGGACGCTTTTTACTCTTCCTGTGCATTTTCATGTTTCTCCCCCTAGTTTTCTGAACGAAAACAGCATGTGTCACACTCACTTTATTGTGTAATAAAAATGGTCACCACAGTGACTCAGCCCTTTTGCCCTTGAAGGAAGTGGAAGATTATCGCTTCTAAAAGGTCACTGTAGAGAAAATATGAGGATCCACGGTGTTGAAAACAAACTCGGGCAAGCTTTTGGAGTATGGAGAAATCTCACAGGGTTTCCAATCAAATATCCAATCCTGGCATTGGGGCACCTTTAGGAAAAGAAATAAGATCTAGCCGCAAGCCTCTTCATGCTCTACTTCCTTAAATCTATCCAGATTTCCAACAACAGACAGCCATGTGGACCAATCCGATGCAGAGAATGTCTATGACCCAAACATCACCCTTCCCCTGTGTAGTGCAGCTGTCTTGTTAAGCTTGGACATAACACATGCATGTAAAATAACCACATGGCAGTGTGTGTGTGTGTGTGTGTGTGTGTGTGTGTTGGGACTAAGGCTTGAACTCAGGGCCTTAAACACTCAATTTGCTTTTTTGCTCAGGGCTTGAGCACTGTTCCTGAGCTTCTTTTGTTTAAGGCTAGCACTCTACCACTGGAGCCACAGCACCACTTCCAGCTTTTTCTGAGCAGTTTGCTGGAGATAAGAGTCTTATGGCTTTTCCTGGCTGGGCTGGCTTTGAATCACAATCCTCAGATCTCAGCCTCCTGAGTTGCTAGGATTACAGGCGTGAGCCACCTGCGCCAGCATTTGGCTCTGGTTTCATTTTGCCTTACTCCAAAAGTCCAGGCAAGGTGATGCACACCTCTAATTCCAGAACTCAGGCAGTGGAGACAGGAGAATCTCCAGTTTGAGGCCAGCCTGGACTACACAGTAACACCCGGTCTCCAACAACAACAACAAAACCAAACAATTTTTTTTTTAAAAGAAGAAAAAACACCCCAAACCTCCAAACTGTCACCTAAGAGAAAATGAGGAAGTCTAAAACAAAGCTGTAGGGAGGTGGTTGATGTAATCTCTTCCCAGAGAGATATGCCATCTTTTTTTATTTATTTTATTTATTTTTGGGGGGTGCTAGTACTGAGGCTTGTACTCAAGGGCCTGGACACTGGTCCTCTTTTCTTTCTTGCTCAGAGCTGACACTCAACCACTTGAGCCACAGCGCCACTTCTATCATTTTTCTAGTTAGCTGAAGAAGCTGAAGTCTCCAGAATTTTTCTGCCCAGAGTTGGCTTTGATCCTCAGCTATAGGCTCCTGGAGTAGCTAGCTAGCTAGCCATGGGCATGCAGCTAAACTTTTTAACTGAGTTCTGTCTTTAAGGGGAAAAATGGTTCATCTTACTATTTTCCTTAAACTCAAGGATTCAAAGAGGAGAAATGAGGGAACACTGAAAAGTGGGTGGTACACCCCTCCTCTCGCTCCACCCTGGGTCAGTTCATGGGCAATGCAGACATCCAGACTCACTTCCTCCAACACATCTGGGTGGACCAGGTCCCTGCACCAGAAATCCAGCCTACATCATAAAATATGGAAGCCCATTGAAAACACAGATGTCAGCCTTTACATAATTGTTAAATATGCAAAAGACATCTTCAAAAACTATTGGCAATCATTTTCACATCCTGGGCTACACTGGATATGGCTTTTCAGCCTGTCTGGCTGAGAATGTATGCATTGAAGCCATTGTTTGCAGTCCGTAGTAAGCATCATTGCGGAGATGGGGGTCTTTGGCCTCTCAGGCTACCCAGGGCTTGGGATCAATGCCACAGAAGGGCTGCAGATGCTTCCTTCCGTCCAGTGTCTCAGTTGAGCTTGGTGGGGGAGGGCAGGGCTTTGCTGCCAAGTGGCATGCAGAGGCAAATAGATTCAAGTGGCATTGTTCTAACAGGCACCTCTCCACCACCAAGTCTGACAAAGATCTCTCTTCTCATTTCTGGCACACATTTGGGCCTTTGAATAGAACTGTGCCCCTCCTAGGGGTGGGGGAAGGGACTTTCTGTTCTTATGGAAGGAATATGGCATATGAAATCAGAGCTTTCTCCTCTCTCCTTTTTTCCTTCATCTTCCTTTTTTCCTCCTCTTCCTCTTCCTCCTTTTTTTTTTTGGGGGGGGGGTGTCCGGTCGTGGGGCCTGAACTCTGGGCCTGGGCGCTGTCCCTCAGCTCTTCAGCTCAAGGCTAGTGCTCTACCACTGGAGCCACCTTCCCAGCCCCTCTCCTCCTCCTTTTGTTGTTGTTCTTCTCCTTCTCCTTTTCCTTCTCCTTCTTTTCTTCTTTCTGTCTGAATGTTTCTCTCTCTCTGTCTCCTCTCCCCCCACCCCAGATTTGAACTCAGGGTCTTGAACTTGCTTGTCTTACTTGCTGAGCTGGAGCTCTACCACTTGAACCATGCCTCCAATGCTGCTATATCCTGGATATTTTGGAACTAACTTTAAACTGTGATCCTCCAAGTCTCAGCCTCCTGAGTAGCTAGGATGATAGCCATGAGCCACTGGTTTGTTTTTTTTGTTGTTGTTGTTATTGTTGTGTTTTGTTTGTTAAAAGGAAAACCATTGCTTTGTTCTGCCATCTTAAGATGCAAGGGACAGGGTCATAAGGACAGAGGTGTCCCAAAGAGATCTAGAACCACTGAGATTCTTTCCCTCTTTCCTTCCCGACCTCCCTTCCTTCCTTCCTTTCTCTTCCCAACCTAACAACTTTGACTTGGATCTCCAATGCAATCAGCATTCTAGAAATGAACATGAGAGGAGTTCCTTCCACAAAGCCCGTCCCTCCTCCCCACTCTGAAAGAAGGCAACCATGACCTTGTGCAACAGAGGTGCACACATTCTGTGTTGATGATATGTATGTCTCCCTCATACTGGACGCCCTGCCTCTCACATTCCATATGCTATTTGGCTTCAAATAAGACTGGGCCACACTGATGTTTTATAGTCTGCTCCCATTTCATTGTTTAGCAAGGCTTCAATGGCACTTCCTTAGATGAGACCTTATTCCATAGCGGAAATACGAATGAACTTGCTCATCTCGGCTTAGGCTGTATTTGGATAATGGCAGCCAGCCTTCCTGTCTTGGTGCCTTCCTCAGCCAGAGAAGAGCACCAACTGGTTCGTGTGTGTGTGTGTGTGTGTGTGTGTGTGTGTGTGTGTGTGTGTGTGTGTGTGTGTGTGCGCTCGCACGCACGTGCCAGTCCTGGAACTTACATTCAGGGCCTGGGTGCTATTCCTGAGCTTTTTGCCCAAGGCTAGTGCTCTACCACTTGAGCCACAGCTCCACTTCCAGCTTCTTTGGTGGTTAATTGGAGATAAGTCTCAAGGCCCTTCTGCCTGGCTGGTTTTGAACCATGATCCTTAGATCTCAGCCTCCTGAGTAGCTAGGATTATAGGCATGAGCCATCAATGCCTGAGCTTCACAAACCACTTCTTGAGCAAACTATAATAACTTAAGAACATAAAATCTCTTTGTGCTATACAATTTTGCTGCAAATAACCTTCATTACAAATGAATTTGCTTAATTTTGGGATCATTACTTTTCCTAATCTAGCCTAGAAAAAATCCCTAGTTTTTGTTTGCCTTTTATGCATTCTACTTTTAAGAAAAGCTGTCTATAGCACAGCACCCCATAAGAGTCTATATCAAGGTACTTGAACTTAATAATTTCCCCTTAATGACCAGTGGTCTCATTTAACCAGTAGAAAAATGTTTTCAGAAACACACACAAAGGGGGACAATTCTCCAGTTCACCTAGAAACAAAAGTCCCTTTAGGCCAAGGATAATTTGCCCCCCCAAAAGTATGCATTTAAAAATTCTTTAGTATTATATATCAGGCCCAATTATTTTTCATATAAATTTTTTTCTTATAAGATTTCAACTGCACACAACGCTTTTTGGTATTCTCAGGGTCATCAGGTGTTCTATCCTTTGTCAGATTTCCCCTTCCAGATTTCCTTTCTCTGCTCTGGGTAGTGACTTCTAGAACTTTCCACCAGCTTCCTGTTTCAGACCAGCCTCTTCCCTCTCACAGTGATCCCCTCTGTCCCTTCCGTCAGGGTCTGCTCTGATCTGTGCCCTGGGGACAGGATGGACCCTATCAGTGGGCATGGCTCTCCTCCCTGACAAAGGTCCATCCACCCCTAGGTAGTTTCCCCAGCTCCCCCGTGGCGGCTGTGGTACAAGCCAGCACTCGGCCAACATCTGCTTCCACCTTTAGACCAGCACGCGCAGACCTCACTCAAACTCAAACTCAAACTCAGGAAGAATCTGAGACTCCTTCACAAATGCTCCTAATGGCTGCCGCAAAGCCTTTGACCCAGGGCATTTCAGGTAGAAAATCTCAGGCATTTATATCCTCCCAGAAGATTGTTTTTTTTTTCCTGGCAGGGGTAGGAAGGAATGAGTTTACTTCTAGATTTTGTGTGTGTGTGTGTGTGGAAATGTCAGGAAATGCAGGGAGCAGGCCATTCAAAAGAAAAAGGGGGCGCTCAAAAAAGAAGCCATGAACAACTCACTGATGTGACTTTCTCCCAGGTTTCTTTGCAAGGGGCAGGAGAGATGGCCATCCCCAGGCTATGGCGGGATGGCGATGGCCACGGGCCCTTCGTGGGCATCATGATCCTCACAGCTGTGGTCATCTCCCTCCTGTTCTATGCCCTCCTCTGGAAGGCCGGCAACCTCGTGGAGCTGCCCAACCTGACAATCGGCTTCTACAACTTCTGCCTCTGGAGTGAGGACACAGGCTCGCTGCAGTGCCACGTCTTTCCGGAGCTGGAGGCCCTGGGGGTGTCTCGGGTGGGCCTGGCACTGTCTAGGCTCGGCGTGTACGGGGCCTTTGTCCTCACCCTCTTTGTTCCTCTGCCTCTGCTCCTTGCCTGGTGCAACAGTACCGAGGGAGAGTGGCAGCTGGCGGTGGGCTTCCTGGCCATGTCCTCCCTGATGCTGGCCAGCGGCCTGGGTCTCTTCCTGTGCTATGTGTGGAAGTGGATTGCGCTCTCCCTCCTGGGGCCTGGCTTTCTAGCTGTGGGTCTGGCCCAGGTCTTACTCTTCCTCTTGTTTATGGCCACAGCTGTGTTCTCTCCAAAGGTCAGGACAAGATCAAGCTTAAGAACTGCTAGTTCTGTCTAAAGGCTCACATGATTGCAAGGATTCAGTTCCACCTCTGCACAGAGAAAATGCCAGGAGAAGATGCCAGGGCTGGCACATCTTCTGGGCCATCTTGTTTCATAAGTGATGCTGACCTCAAGCTCCAGCAGATAGAACCATCCACTGAGCAGGCGGGGCTGAGGCGGTGTGGGCAGCAGGGCGCCTGTGGCTTCTTAGCAGACTGTCTGTCCTTTGGGATTTCTAAGAACCCCACAAAACCACACCGTCCATCCCCCCATGAATTCCTGCTTGAATGAACTGACCTGGATGGCTGTTATTCTAGCCTCTGGAGGGCGAAGGAGGCATGTTTAATATCATGGGACTCCATTTCCAGGCTGATTTCGCCAAATTGCCAAACTGGAGCCCAGTGATGGTTTAGTTTATGACAATAAATGGGACCATTATGAGAGATCATGAGTGCACCTCAGTGTCCTACAAGGCCTGGCGAGCAGCCTTCCTCCATGGTGAGGAATCAATCGACGAGGCTACACTCCCAGTGGGCCTCCATTCCCAATAGGATACTACTCCCAAGGGCCCAGGAATGGCCTCCAGGGATTGAATGCAGAGAAGACACAGGGCACAAAGAGGTGTGCTGGCTTTGAAGGAGCTGGGGAAAAGGCCCTGCGCCCCGCAGACCAAGAGCGGGTGGTATGTTGTTTCTCTCGTGACCCAAGAGCAGCTCACACGAGTGTGTGGCCCCCACTCACAAATGCCGCATCCCTCAGGTCTCTACCCGCAGCTAGGAAGGATAGAAGCTGACAACCAATACATTGGAAAATTCTGTGTATTTGTGACATGTGTGTATTAAAAACCCTGTCTGGCAATGACAGAACTCAATCTGTAGCCATCAAAGCTACACTGGACACAGAGGCAGAAACATGGTCTCTGCTGTGGGCTTTTGTCCTGATCACCATCTCCCGGCTCCTGTTCTTGTCTTGCTTTTCGAATGCCCAAGGTCCAAGGCCAGAGGCCACCAGGTGGACAGAAGATGTAAGCCGGGGAAGATGGTATGAGGGGCACAGAGGGGCCCCTGGGACGCCTCTGCTCCCAGAGGGCCGGGGACTGTGGCATCGTGCCTGTCCTGCCAGCCGGCTGGAGGGGAGAAGGCCTGCTTCTGGAGAACTTCTGGTGGGAACTGTTTAGCCCAGGCTTCCTCCTCAGGGAAAGGGCCTACTGAGTAAGTTCTAGAAACTCCGGTATTCTTCCCAGCCACACTTTTCCTCAAAAATTGTCAGAGAAGTCAAAGGAAGTCTCTTTCATTGGAGAAGTTGGATCCCAAGGCCTCATTTTTCTCTGTATCCTGATACCCAAATAAAACAAATAATTGTGATTCCAGACCCTCTGAACTGGGAGACTGCAGTGGCCAACAGAGGCTTCTTCTGTGTGAACTGTTCACTCCTTAGCTGAAAAATATCTCCCGGACGTATTTTAATACATCTTCTTCCTCTTCCTTCTCTTCGGAGGCCCTGCTGCAGGTGCCACTGGGTGTGCCCTCTCCCTGCGCAGGGCTGAGGTCCCGGGCAGGGGAATCTTCCCCACCATCCTCTTCCTCGCTGCTGCTCCCAGGGGAGCTGGTGTGTGGGGACATGGGGCAGGGGGGGGCGCAGGGTGGCTTATCAGGGCCTGCCAGAGCTGGCTGTTCCCAGGGCTTTTCCTGTTTGCGACCCTGTGGGGCAGACGAAACGACAGGCTCAACACACACACACACACATAGAGCTTGTTTCCCCGACAGCACATGCTCAGGAGCAGCTGCACAGCCAGGCCCTGCACCCACCTCGTCGTAAGACCCCAGACCCACCTGAAGGCAAGCACCCGCCTTCCCTTCACCCCACTGCTAGCGGGTTACTCCAAGGACTGATGGATGGGATAACCCAGTTTCAAAGCACCTGACCAACTAGAAAGTACTCTAATACAGTACTCTTAAGACACTATCATTATTATTCCTTGGGGAAGGCAGGAAACTTCCAGGATATTCTGCCAAGGACAGGCGCAAAGGTTTGGAAGTTGTCGCATCCAACTGGGACCCTCTCCAAAATGCAAACAGGCCAATACTCTGTCAGGTCTGCATACCCAGTCACACCCCTCCCAGGCCTGGCACCCCCAAGGCCCACCCCTGTGGCATCTACCCACGCAGGAAGGGACTGAGGGGTCCCTGGGGGAGAGAAGGGCCAGTGAGGGGCAGGTAGTGGAAGTGGCTGCCAGAGGAGCAGGACCCTGAGGCCGCCTGCGGCACCCTTCTTACTGACAATGGCCAAGGGCCTAGGCCCACTTGTGTCCGTGAGAGTTTGTGGTCCCAAGAGCAAGGAGACAAGCCACGGACTTTACCTCAGCCAGGATGCCCAGGGCCACATCCACCATTTCCGCTTCATTCATAAAGTACACAGTCTTTACTGTAGGTCTGAAACAAAGACACAGGCCACAGCTGGGGACAAAGGGACTCAGGTCTTAGGATGGGAAGGGAATGAGAGCACGAGGGTGACATTCCTCACCTTCCACCATCTCCCTCCAGTACCCCCCCCCCCCCAGGGAACTGGGATTGGGTGACAATGGTCAATCCCTGAAACCTGCACCTTGGGTGTGACACAGCGGATGCAAGCAGATGCAGGCCACAAGCCAAGATCAAAATGTACCCGAACGTGTCACACTTACTCCAACACTGGAACCATCTCAAAAGGCCAGCTACGTCCATAGGTAGGTCATGCCGCCTGTAATCCTAGCTACTCTAAGCAAAGTTCATGAGACTCTTATTTCCAATTAGTCAATGAAAGCCAGAAGTGGAGCTGTGGCTCCAATGGTAAGAGAATCAGGCCTATGTAAAAAGGCTAAGGGACAGCACCCAGGCTCTGAGTTCAAGATTCAGTACTGGCACCAAAAAAAAAAAAGAAAAAAGAAAAGAAAAAGAAAAAACACAGCTGTCTATCCAGAAATGTGGACAGGGGTGCTGCCGGTCTGAAGACCCCTGCTCCCCTAAATTACCAACACTCAACTAACCCCCCCACAGCATCTCATTTCCTGCTGCTCTGCCCACTACAAGGGCAGACACCACTCTGAAGATGTAATGATACGTCCACCAGTCTATTCTACTTTTTGATGCTACATTTTTTTTTTGTCACAAATGAAGACACTGATATTTTGTTTGTATTTGTGTGTGTGTGTGTGTGTGAGTGTGTGTGGGTGTGTATGTATAAGTGCCATTCCTGGAGCATGAACTGAGGGTCTGGGAACTGAGAGAATTTTTTTTGCTTGAGGCTGGCCCTCTACCACTTGAGCCACAACTCATTTCCAGCTTTTTGATAGTTTATTAGTTATATAATTCTCACAGACTTTCCTGCCAGAATTGCTTCTAATCATAATCCTCAGATCTCAGCCTCCTGAGTAGCTGGGATTATAGACATAAACCACCAGTGCCTAGCTGGAGACCAATACTTTGGATACATGATGGCTGAGAGTTTGGTTTGTGTGCACAACCCACCATTTATGAGCTGACAGTCAGGGCCTGGTGACAGAAACATCACCAACAAAGAGTTAGGCATCTGCCTGTGACACTGCCCACCCAGCCTACCTCCTAAGACCTAGTCAGGGAGAAACGGCACCCACCACACTGAAGGTCCCTCCTCCCCTCCAGTCTTCCCCAAGGGTGCCCTGGCCAGAGGCTCCCACCTGGAGGCTGCCACCAGTGTCATTCTCCTCCTTTTGGGCATCTTCACCGGCACCTCCTTCCTCTCCGCCACCTGGGCTGTCATCCAGGAGGGGAGGATCCTCTTTTTGTTCCCAGATTGTAAGGCTTGCATCTCTGTCATTTGCACAGAGAAGCGTCCGGATACACACTAAATGCCTGGCTTCTCTGATTCAGGACTCCTGTCACACCAAGCGTTAGAGATTTAGTTCTTCCAAGTAGGAGCAGATGTTTAATGCCTAAAGAAGAACAAAGCCAGTGAATTCCAATGAGTTACAACACTTGCCACAATGACTGGTCAGCCATTATGACTGATCAACGTGGAGCAGGCCAGAGGTGAGTCCGAGAGTGAACAAGCCCCAGGAGCCTCAGTCAGCCATCAGCACTGTCAGGTTGGAGGTGTGGTAGCAGGCAGGATAACCGATCAGGAAGGCAAAGCTCTGTGACCTGCCCCAGTGCCCCACGCAGGGGCCTCGTCCAACCAGAAACACTCTCTCATAGCCTCTGCAGTCCCAGGAGCCTCTTCTCCTCAGCACCCCAGTTCTAACCATTCTCATCCTTACCTCTCCCTCCACACTCCAGATTTCTCATTTCCAAGAACCTCTGAGGCCAATTTTATTCACACACACACACACACACACACACACACACACACACAAATATTGCACTGGACAAAGCTACACACCCCACCACATAAGCCAGCCCCCACACAATCTGAAGATGCTTCTGATTGGTCAAATTTTAACTTGCAGAGAAGCCTGGAAGCTAACATTTGGTTCTCCTGATCCACAGAATCTAGAACCCTCACCACCCTCAGCCTCAGTCCATCCCCCCTCTATTCTCTCACCTAACATGACTTCACCTTTCACCACCTCCAATTGATTCTGCCTCAGCTGCTATTACTGAAGCCCAGTCCCCATCTAGATAAAGGTCTCCACTTCCCACTTAGAAATTAGCCCAGATACTCCCACCTAAAAACACCTTCCACAGGTCAGAGGTGTGCCTAGAAAGTAGTCAATGAAGAGTCAGCTGCTCCCTTTTGTTCCCCTTTGGCTCACTCCTGCAATCCTAACTACTCAGGAGGAAGAGATCTGAGGACTCAAGTCCAAAGCCACCCTGGGCAAGAAAATTCTTATTTCCAATCAACCACCAAAAAAAAAAAAAAAAGCCAGAAGTAGAGATATGACTCAAGTGATAGAGTGCCATCCCTGAGTGAAAAAGTTCAGAGACAATGCCCGGTACAAGTCCCAATACCAGAAAAAGAAAAAAAAAAAAGATATTCTCCTGATAATGTACTACTCACCCAGGATGCCACTTACAAGTTAAGAGACAGTGAGCAGGCCATTGCCCTAACCTGCTCAGCCAGAAGACAAACATTTGCCAATGGGCATTCCCGTCTGTGGACCCAAAGATGCAGATCACTAAGCCTACTTTACAAACAAGGAACTCACACTTAATTAACTTGCACAAGGCCAATCAGACACCCAAAATGGCAGCCAGCATCTGAAACTGTAAACCCTGCTTTAAGGCACCAGAAGTGCACCGTCTGCAGGTCAGTTCTCACAGCTCTGAGACAGATCTAACACGGCATACCCTTCTTGTCATTATCTACTCAATTGCCAGAGACAGGTAAAAAGATGCTAAATGGCTTTTCCTATTGTAAAAGTGTCTTGGCAATGAAAAAGTTTTCTAAAAATGAAAACATTTAAAACAGATCTTGCCAGCCCTGGTGGTGCACACCAGTAATCAACAGGGAGAATGAGGCAGGAGGATCATGAGTTCGAGACCAGCCTGGGCTACACCTTAAAACCAAAATCTTCACATATGCTACAAATCAGACTTGAGAGGATCTGAATCATACCGAGAGGAAGAAAAAAGAATCTCCAGAAGCCCCTGAAAGTTCTGGGGGAATAGTCTTTATCAGTTTGTAGCAAGTTACAAAAACAAAGACGCAGGTACCTTTGCTGAACCTCACATCTGGTGGTGGTTGGTGTTTGATCTCTAGCAGCCAAATGTTCCCCAAGCTCTCATCGGCTCATCGCCATGTTTCAGCACGGTCAGTCCAAGTCATTCAGAATTAACCTAAGATCAAGTCCAGTGACCAAGTCAGGGAGGGAGAATGTTTTAACACCCAATGCAATTTCAGCATAAACCGAATCTAGACCGTCGAAGGCACGACGTGCAATGCGCCATTTACAAACGGAAATAAGATCTCCCTCACGTTAACCCTTCCCTGGGAATGAAAGGATTCGTTTTGCTGTATTGTGCATGATCCACTTAGAAACTCACCCCAAAGCCCCTCCCAGGAGGCGCCGCGTCCCCTGCAGACCCGGGGCCGGCTGTGCGCTCCCCGCGGCCGGCAGAGGGCGCTGTCCCCGCCGAGCCGGGGCCCCGCCGCCGGGACCTGCCCGCCCCGCCACGCGCCCCTGCGGCCGGCCCAACCCGCGGCTCGCGTGCTCGGTGGGACCTCCGCCTCCTCGGGTGCCGCCCCGGTTGCTCTCCCGAGTCGGGCGGGGTGGAAGATTCTGGACAGTTGTGCCAACCCGGCAGGGATCAGCGCCCGCGCCTCCCTCCGCTGCGGGGCCTCCGAGCGGTTGTGGCGGCTCCCGCCCCTTCCGGCCTCGGCGCGCTCCCGGCCCGGGCCGCGCGCCCTAGCGCCCCCTGCGGGCAGCCGCGCCAAACGGCCTCGGCGCGCTCCCGGCCGGGCCGCGCGCCCTAGCGCCCCCTGCAGGCAGCCGCGCCAAAGTGCAAGCGAAGCCCAGGCCCCCGTTCCCAGACCCCTAAATGGGAACAGAGGGGGAGGGAAGGGGGCGCTGTGCCCTCAGGGGGTTCCCACAAGAAGCCGAGCCTAAGGCTCACAGCTGGAGACACGTGCAAGAAAGGCCTTGCAGGGGGACAAGGGAAGCCTGTGTGCCTCTATCTTAAACCACTGCAAACGTTGCTGAGCTGTGGGTTCCCTCTGCAAAGGGACGGAGGCACCTATGCCCAGGAGACCAATTCCAGTGATGTGAACTATCATCCACTACAACCGGGGCAGCCCGAGGCCCAGGAACGAAGATCCCGGGAGAGAGACCACTGCAAACACAGGCACAAGCAGTCACAGGGCGGCCTATTCTGGCTGATTCCCTCTCCTTCCCAAAATGACAAAGACGGAGCCAGGCGCTGGTGTAATCCTATTGTAATCCTAGCTATTCAGGAGGCTCAGAGAGGAGGGTCGCAGATCTACGCCAACCTAAATAGACAGGCTTAGAGACTTTATTTACCCCCAGTAAACCAGCAAAATGCAAGAAGTGGGAGTTATGGCAGAACACAAGTTTTGAGTGTAAAAGCTAAGCAAAAGTGCAAGGCCCCGAGTTCTAGCCCCGATACTGGCACCAAAAAGGAAAAAAAAGAACAAAAGAACAAAAGAGGGGGGGCTGTGAGGGCAGACTAGATGGTTATGGTACCCTCCCTGGGGTGTAAGGGGTGTAGAGAACCTGGAGCTCCCCCCCCACCCCCCCTGCTCAGCACAGTGTGTGTGTGTGGGGGGGGGTGTTCTGTCTTCACCTGCATCCTCTTGGTTCCAGGCCCTTCCTCCTGGCTCTTCTCTTGAATGCCAATTCTGCCCCCTAGGGAAGCAGGCTGGGTGGGAAGTGTTTATAGAAATCAGTTAAGGACATGGACTAATGGCTCCAACTCCCAACAACATCCCGCTGTCACGGACTCCTGCATGCCCCCAGCCTCTCCAGACAGGCACCAGCCTGTCCCCGGGGCCACCATGATGGGGTCAGCCACCGACTTCATGAGGCCTCAGCCTCACAGTTTATGAGCCAGGACAAGTTTAATGGGCCAGGGGCGGGGGGAACATGGTCCCTTTGCAGAATAAAGGAACAGAAAACTGTTTTTCCACTCCCAGAACAACCTACCCCCCTGGCACATGTTTTCTTCCAATTCTCTTGATGGCTGGAAATTGAGGCCTATCAACAGGAAGCCTGTGTCTGCATAAGAGCCTAGAAGGAGCTAAGGAACCAAGCCGTGAGGTGTGCACACACTGTATAGTTAACCTCAGAAGCATCGGCATTTCTTGAAATTGACAGACACAATGGTATTCACTAAGAGATAACATGTATCAACTAGTGAGTCCACAATGTGTGTGCACTGTGTCCCTACAGATGTCACATTGAGCTCCTGGGCACTTCCATGACACACTATGGAAATGGGGGCCCCTGGGCGGCACGCAGCTCTGGGCAGGTAAGCAGGTTCAGGGCTCGAGGCTGGCCACCCTGGTTTGCTTCTATGCTACCTTCACCCAAGACAATGCAGACGGAGCCTTGCCCGGCTTTGTGGTGGATGCAAGCAGGTGATCTGAGGGAGATTGTGTTTCAGCAAGCTTTATCTGAAGATGAGCACTCTTTCTGGACCCATCAGGAAGGGACATCATGGGTGGGGGACCTGTCATGGTGTTTGAAGCCATCTGAGCAAGCTATAGAGGCCCCCATTGAGAGAATGGGTCTGAAGGCCAGAACCTTTGAGATGACAGGCGGTTAAGTCAAATGAACTCAGGCCATTTCCCAAATGTCCTCCAGAACCTGGGTGGAGCTGGGGTTGCTTCAGTGGGACACGTAAGTGGAGGCATGGAAAGAGGTAAGAAATGTGCAACTGCATCTGGCCCTCTGGTGTTCTCTAGTCTCCTAATCAGGCCATATACCCACACACCCCGCTTGCCTCAGTCCTGGAGGAAGGGAGCCGGGCCTTAGTTCCTTCATGCACTCTCAGTCGGTCACTAGTTGTCCCTACTCCAGCCCTGTCCTCCAGGATGGGTTTGGAGCCCAGAGGCTCTAAAATGACTATTCTGAGCAACAGTGGCAAGGGCCTTCCTTAGACAGGCACCAAGGTTGTCCTTGTTCAGTGGGAAGCCAAGGGCCTTGGAGCATCTAGAGGCTCCCGCATGAGGCTGGCCCCAGCTGCGGGTGCAGAGGGGAAGGCCTGTCTCCTCCAGGTCCTTCTAGCCCGAGAACGGAGGACAGACCTTGGGCAGGGATGTGGATGTAGCTGGTCCAGGCTCAGTTGAGCCTAAAACCTTTCATGTCCTTCCAGTGACCTGGCAGGTTCACGGGCCCTCTCTCCCCACCCACCAGCAGAGGGCGCAGTGACAGGCACTGTTCAGGGACAGCCTATGAGAGATGCTAGGGCAGCAGCCCTGGGATAGGATGGCGGCCAGTAACAGAGGTCTTAACTCCTGCTCTCATCCTGAGAAGCTTCTGTAGCAAAGGCACGCATTCTTACCCTCCGCCGGACTGGGGGCGGGGGGTGGGGGGGAGGTCCACAGCAAAGCCACAGGCCAACCTGTGGTCCAGACCCATGAATAAGAGCTGGGTCAGAGCCCATGGCTGACTCGCTAGGGCAAAGTGATACACACGTTCTAGAAAGGGACACCACGTGACCACAGAGCATTCGCTTTTTACAAAAAGGAAAGAAAAGAAAGAAGAGCAAATATGTACAAAATACTGTGGATCTCTCCTGGGCCCACGCAGAAGCCATCTCTTCTTTCTTCTCCTTCCAGAGCTTTCCTCCCATAGTTCCGAAGCACACTTGTAACACAACCCCAGTTAGGACGCGGGCCCCCGGGTGGCACTGCCATGTGAGGCTCCGGTTCCAGTCGCCTGGCTGGACAGGGACGAGCCCCGCCCCCCCACGTTGTTCTCTGAAGACGTGGGGTCTGGAGGAGGCTCAGCGGCTCTCCCGTCCCATCTCTCTCCCGGCCCAGGATGATGCTGCCGCCGCGGCGTGGCTCCGGGCGGAGCCGTCAGCGCTTGTGGGCCAAGAGGGTGGTCATCCTGATCTTGCCGTCCATGGAGGCGGTGAGGCACGTCCCACAGTCCATGGCCGTGCTCCAGTCCACCGTGACCACGGGAGCGCGGTGGCCACCCAGGCTCAGGCAGCTTTCCAGAACCTTCTCGTCGCCACCCAGCTACGAGAGCGAGGAAGCAGTGTTAGACGCCACTCACAAACATACCTATTCATCCACTTGGGGTGACAGACCAGGGGAACGGACACAGACACCACTGAGCAGCCTGCATGGAATGATCCTTACACAGATCAACGAGATTGGGGGCTAGATGCTAGTAGCTCAGACCTGTTACCCCCACCCCCAGCCTAATGCTCCCCAACTCTCCTCCTGCTCCGTAATGTCTTGTGTAACAGGCATCATTTTCCTGTGACCCAGGGACAGGAAAGGAAGGGCGGGATCTCCTCGAGGACAGTAAGTGGACAGCAGAGAGGAGGACAGGGTCTCATGTTCTGCCCAATCCCGTCTTCTCTAATGGAGCTGAGAACTGGCCCTGCCAGCCTGCAAGACGCCAGGCCCCCGTCTGTCTGTCTGTCTCAGGCTTCACCACTGTTACACAAGGTAGGATGGACAGCCAGGTTTGCCTAAGGCAGAGCTGACTCTAGGGGTCCACCCTCTGCCCCCCCCACCATTACCTACCTTGTAGATGACGCCGCCGGTGGCAGAGCACGTCAGCATGTAACTGCCCTCCGAATCAAAGGCGAACAGCCGGCCCCGGGGCACTTGCACCTGCTTGTAGCCGCTGTAGCCGGACAGCACAAAGGGGCCCGTGGCGTCTGCGGGGAGGCCGTGCTCTGACACCTTCAGGCCACTCTTGTGAATGTTCCACTGAATGAACTGCAGACATGGACACAGCCTCTCAGCGGGGACAGGGGCAGGCCTGGAGCCGGTGCCAGGCCCACCCAGAGCAGAGCAGAGCAGAGCAGAATATGGAGCGGGGCGGGCAGGGGGGTGGGGGTGGGGTGACCTGCCTCCTTCTGCTTCAAAGGCAGAATAGGGGCAGCGTGATGTCCATAGGCCACCCTGAAGTTCTACCTTTTGCCAAAATGGAGAAAACTCTACAACATTCTCACAAAGTCCAACCCTTCCCCTCCCCTCTGAGAGAGGAAGTGACAGCATGTGGACTCCTGCTCTCAGGCAGGGGAAGCTTCGAGGGACACTGCTGCTGTTACCATCCGTCAGAACCCAATGAGATGGTTCCAACCCAGGAGCGAAGCAGAGGACAGATGTCCACCGCTGACTCTGGCTCCAGGCACTGCGCTGTGCATACGGTCCCCAGGGCAGGTGGGCTGCCCAGCATGATCAGCTTTTCCTTGGGAATCCCACCCATTTAAATAGAAGTCAAGCTTCAACTTAAAAACCCTTTCCTACAGTCTCCTCTTCTTCCTCTTCTCTTTCTACCTCTTCCTCCTCCTTTGGATACAAGGTCTCAATTAGATGGCATTCATTTTATAACTCTGGCATGACTCAAATCTGTGTTCCTCCTGCATCGGCCTCCCACATGCTGGAATCACCACCTCCTGAGACAGGAGGACTGCCTGAGACCAGGAGCTTGAGGTCTCTGGGAAAACCCCAAGCGACCATCACTACCACCACCACCACCACAAAAGAACTGTCACTGCAGTGTTCCGTGGAGACTGCAGGTGGTTAGTGGCCCACCCTGGCTCCTCTCGCAGGGCCCCTGCCATCGCCACTCCCTAGCACCCTGCACAGAGGCCATCTACAAAGTGCATCTCCATGCCTGTTTGGCTGAGGAACGGGCCGCCCTTGTTCCTTCTGTGGACTCTGCTTGGGCCTGTCTGCTTCTGGGAAGCTGGTCCTGGCACCTCATCCAACTCTAGGCATCCGAGGGCGGCCCCAAGGCCACCACCAGAGCCTAACCCATTACGGAGCCATGACGAGTCACTTCTGTAGCAACTAGAAGAACACGCCACCTTCCACCATCTCCCTCCATTACCCCCCACCCAGGGAACTGGGATTGGGTGCCAATGGTCAATCCTCGCTCACTCACCTTGCCGTCCTCGCCGATGCTGTACACGGCATTCTCATCACAGCTGAACTCCACGGAGTAGACCTCCCCGCCGTGGGCCCTCCAGCTCATGGCGCACTCGTGCTGCTGCATGTCTGAGGCAGGGAATGAGACCAAGGTTGGCTACGCCTGAAGGCATCCACCCGCCTGCCCACAGCAGAGCCCCTCCACTGGACCCCACACTGGCCCTGCTCAAGGGCTGCTACTCCTAAGCTGCAGAAGCAGCAGCCGTCATTGGGTCAAAAGTGAGGAACCCCATAATTCTGGGAGATACATAACAGTCCTTCCTACAAGGCCTCTAGAAGGTTCCTTTAATAGATTCAGTGGCCTTATCCTAACTCAGACCCTGGGGACAGAAGAAAAGGAGCCGCCCACAGCAAAGGAGCAAGACAGCGTTACTCTGCATCCTTCGCATCCCACATGGGTGACCAGGACTCGATGGAAAAGCTCTGACCCAAGGACAGCGGAGCTCCTAAACCTAAACCTGCCACGTCTACTGACGCTAAGCAGGTATGGGTGGATTGTGCTGGGTGTTCTGAAAACCTTGGTTGAAGTTAAGATCTAGTCCATGCGTTTAAAGCAGGCTTTTGCGAAAGCTTCTACTGCGGGGGCCCACTTAAAGAGGGGACCAGGCAGGCCAGCATGCACGTGCGTACCAAACAAGCGGATGACACCATCTGCTGCGCCTGTGACCAGCAGGTTCCCATTGTGATTGAAGGCTGTACAGTTGATGGCGATGGGCTCGGGCTCCAGGGAGAACTGGAGCTATGAAAACCAAGGGGAAGCACGAGTGAGCGGGCCGCGGCCAGCGACGCAGACACAGGCGCTCTGCGGGGCCCTTCCTTCCCGTTCTGCTTCTAGAAGATGGTTCTGCCCAACTCATGCGTGACTGTGCGCTCGTGTGTGTGCACGCGCACACGTGCATGCGCGTGTGCCACACCAGTACTGGAACTGGGACTCAGGGCACTGTCTCTTAGCTTTTGTTGCTCAAGTCTGATGCTCTACCACTTGAGCTGGAAACTCAACTCCCAGCTTTTTGCTGATCAACTGGAAACAAGTCTCATGGACTTTTCTACCCAGGCTGACTCCACACTGTAATCCTAAAACCTCCTGACTAGCTAGGATTACAGGTGTGAGCCACCAGTGCCTGGCTCTTAACTATGCTCTTTTGAGAGGGGGGGTTGCTGTTGACATCTCGCTCTTCACACTAAGATGAATAATCCATCTCTTAGCCACCCATGCTAAGAACACAGTATGCTCACCTGCCAACAGGGACTACCACTTCATCCTGACAGGCAGCCCTGAGTAACAGAAGCTGATCATGCACAGCTCCCATGGGTGCTCCAGTCCCTTCCCACAGAAATCCTGGAAATGCAGGCGCTAACCAAACCACCTGCAACAACTTGAGGTCTCCTATGGATTCTAACACTGAACAAACAATAGCAGACTTTGGGACTCAAAATGTAAGCTAGAATATGACATGGTGTTCTTTTTATACACTTGCCCGGTACTGAACTAGCAAATAAAGGAGTTCTTTGAGAACAAAAAGGAGGGCAAAGCAAGATTCTCACAGACCAGTGGACTCCAAAGCTGGCTTTCACCAGGGACATTAATCAAATACAGATACCTGAATTCTTATTCTGGGAGCCACTAAGAACTCAGAAAGCTAAAGTCCTCAGGGATGGCTCACATCTGTAATCCTAGCTACTTAGGAGGCTGAGATCTGAGGATCAATGTTCAAAGCCAGTCTAGGAGACTCTCATCTCTATTAAACCAGCAAAAAGCTGGAAGTAGAGTTGCGGCTCAAGTGGTAGAGCTTCAGACTTAAGTGAAAAAGCAAAGCAAGGGAGGCCCTGGGTTCAAGCACTAGGACCAGCACAGAAAAGAACAGGGGAAAGGCAGGAAGGGAGGGAGGAAAAGGAAGTAGAGGGGAGGGGAGGAGGGGGATGAAAAGGAGGAGGAGGAAGAGGAGGAGGAGGAGGAGGAGGAGGGGGAGAGGGAGGGGGAGAGGGAGGGGGGGAGGAGGAAGAGAAAAGCCCAAGCTGTGCAAGACCAGGATAAGGAAAATAAATCTCCACACATTGCTGGGACTCCAAAGAGCTATGTCCTCCATGCACAAATACACCAGGAATAAATCTAAATCTACTTCACAGAAAGGGTTACTAGAAACCTAACCACTCTGCAAATGTATTAGCGTAAACTCCCTCCTGTATGGGTTTATAAACAAATTCACTATCCTAATGTTGTCTGAGGAACCTCAGGCAGAGAAGTGACTGTACAGCTGCCAGGAGCTCACACACACACACACACACACACACACACACACACACACACAGAGACACAGAGTACCAGGAGCTCACACACACACACACACTCACACACACACACACTCACACACACACACACACACACACACACACACACACACACACTCAGGTACCTGGCACAAATGAGTATAAATCTTTTTCAGAAAAATGTCTTATATCCCAAGCCTCAAATTATTCTCAAGTCTAAAGGTCCCAGATCATGAGCCCACACGGAAATCCCTAAGACAAAGAGGTAGGGTGAGAGGAGAAAGCACCCATAGAAACAGCCAAAAGAAATTATGAGACACAATACACAATGACCACAATCAGTAGTTCAACAAAATAAGAGGAAGTGGAACTATGGGTAAGAATGTGAGACTAGAAGAACAAAGCTGAAACCAGCTTAGTTGGGGCTTCTAAAAATGAGAAATACAGTAACTGAAATGAACACCCTAACAGATAGGTTAAGCAGCAGGTTACTCAGAGAAGGAACCAGTGAACCAACAGAGTGACGGAATTATCATCATGAATGCAGCAAAGTGAAACAAAAAAGAGGAACCGCTCGAATTCAGATCTCGCCCAGAAGGCAAGAGATAACAGAAAATTAAACAATGGAAAAAATCAAGACTAAGAATTTTCCAGAACTAAACAAAGACATCAATTCTCTGATTCAAAAAAACTCAACAAAATCAAGCTAGAAGGTGTGTTTTTTAAAATTGTTTTAACTTAAAAAACAGAAAATCCAACCCCAGAAACTAAAATAAGATTTTCAAAACATGGGGGAAGTCAAGGGGAGGAGGGTAGGTAGACTGAATGAAAAGGGGATAAGGGTGAGGGGAGAATACAGTCATAAAATCCAATGCATAGCCTAGGAAACTAGGAGGAGAGGTGGAGTTAGAAGGGATGGGGGTTGAGGGAATGATGGAACAATTAATTCTGGTAAAGATGCATTGTACTTAGAACTGACATGTTGAATGGTAACCCCTTTGTACAACTACTTAAAGATAATTTTTTTTTTTTTTAATCTTAAAAGCAATCAGAGCCAGGTGCTGATGGCTCACGCCTGTAATCTTAGGTACAGAGGAAACTGAAATCTGAAGATCACAGTTTGAAGCCAGCCCAGGCAGGAAAGTATGTGAGACTTTATCTCCAATTAAACATTAAAAAGCCAGAAGTGAAGCTATGGCTCCAGTGGTAGAGCAGCACCTCAACTGAAAAAGTTAAGGACAGCACCCAAGCCTAGAGTTCATCAAGCACCAGCACTGGTATTTTTTGTTTTTAAAGCAGCCAGAGAAAAATGACAGCAAAGGAAGAAAGGCCAGTTCCACTGAGAGTGAAATTCTGTTTCAGCAAAAGCAGCTAAAAGAGAAGACTGAGGCACAGTTAGGAGATAGATCAGTTTTCAACCATAAGATTCTAGAAAGTTTTATATACTATAATTCCGCTCATGTAGTCAGGGAATGCAAAACAAAGACTATTGCTGTGGATATATATTAATGTGATAATAATCTTTAAAGTACTGTCGCATTATTATTATTATTCGATTATTATTATTATTTAGTCCAGTCAGCGTCTGTGTGGAAGGAAGGGCATCCAAGATCATAAAGAAAAGACAATGTACTATTTTACACTAGGTGCTCCTTTTACTGCCTTTCCTCTCCTTATGCCTAGGATGTCAATATCCTTTTGTACATACTCCACATTAAATAACAAATGTGAAACTCACAAGTAAACGTAAGATTACAAGTCACAGAGAAGAATGAGGTAGCAAAAAGGAAGAGGGACTGGAAGAACGGAAGGGAGGAGGGCGGGCAGAGGTCACCACGGGGCTTGGCGGGAGTGGGCCTGACAGCAGCTTCGGTGTGAGCAGAGAAGGGAAGGGCGTGGGAAGACACTTCATTTCTGGGTGACCAGATGTCATGGCTCAACTCGGAGTGACTTCTTCAGTGGTTCACAATCTGCCAGGCCAGGCTGAGTACAATACTTTTCAACATTTTAAAATCTGAAGATGTATTGAAAATCTGCAGACTCTAAGGCAGAGAGGAAGAGACTGGATAGAAACCTAAGGTAGTGCAGACGCCCCCCAGGGCAGGCCCTGTACCTGCTGCTTCATGGTTTTCGTGTCCCACAACAGCAGCTTGCCAGGAACCTGGTTCATGCCCTTGCTGCCGATGTCCGGGGCGGAGGAGTCCACCTGGGAAGTGAGGCTCGGAGCTGCGGCCGAACACACGAAAGAGGCCCCGCTGGGGCTGCACGCGAGAGACAGGATTCTGCAATGTACAAGGGCCCAGGGTCAGGCCATCATCTGCCCCAGGGGGGCGGGGTCCTGATGAACAGCCGCAGAAGCCTGCAGCCTTGACCGTGGGAAGGGGAGCGCCAGCTCACCTGGGCATATCATCGTCGATGTTGATTTCACAGAGGTTCTTCTTGGCTTCTGTGTCATAAAGACGCACTGTCCCCACACCACTGCCCAACAAGAGCTGCAAATAAAATGGCAGGGGCAGGAAGGTTAGTGCAGGAGTCAGGAGGGCTGGAGGAAAGAGGCCAGCCCTCTGAGGTAGGAAGGAGACCAGGCTGACAGAAGGAGTAGGCCCTGAACAAAGGCAGTCAGGGGAAATCTGGCTACACTTTAAAACAACATAAAACCATCAAAACTGGCCTAAGAGTTAGGTCAGAAATAGAAACAAGCACAGTGGTTAAACCCTGTAATCCTAGCTATTCCAGAGGAAGAGCTCAAGGGGCTACAGACTCAAGACCAGTCTAGGAGAGTTCACAAGACTCAATCTCAGCCAATAAAAGCTAGGCAGGGTAGTCATGCCTATGATCCTAGCTATGAAGGAAGAAAAATAGGAGGGTTGTAGTCTAGGGAAGCCTGGGCATAAACTAAAGCAAAAAGGTCTGGAGGACTGGCTCAAGTAGTACAGCACCTGCCTAGCAAGTATCAAGCCTTGAGTTGAAACCCCAATACCACCACCCCCCAAAAAAGACAGACTGACAGGAGAGAAAGAGAACAAGAAAGAGCTGGGTGCTGGTGGCTCACTCCTGTAATCCTAGCTACTTGGGAGGCCAAGATAAGAGGACTGTAGTTCAGAGCCAGCCAGGCAGGAAAGTTCATGAGACTCTCATCTCCAATCAACAAAAAACTAGAAATGGAGCTATGGCTCAAGTGGTAGAGTGCTAGCCTTGAGTACAAAATCTCAGGAAGAGCACCCAGGCCCTGAGTTCAAGCCCCAGGATAAGCGAAAGAAGAAAAGAAAAAAGAAAGAAGGAAGAAAGAAAGGAAGGAAGGAAGGAAAGAAGGAAGGAAGGAAGGAAGGAAGGAAGGAAGGAAGGAAGGAAGGAAGGAAGGAAGGAAGGAAGGAGAGAGAAAAAGAAAAAGAAGCCGGGTGCTGGTAGTACATACCTGTAATCCTAACTACTCAGGAAGCTGAGATCTGAGGACAGCAGTTCAAAGCTAGCCAGGGGAGGAAAGTCCATGAGACTCTTATCTCTAGTAACTACTCAGAAAAAGCCAGAAGTAGTGCCGTAGCTCAAGCAGTAGAGTGCTAGCCTTGAGCACAAAGAGGCTCAGAGACAATGGCCAGGCCCTGAGTTCAAGCCCCAGGACCAGGGAGAAAAAAGAAAAGAAGAAAGAAACATAAACAGATGGGTAGGGGGACAGGAAGCCTGGAGGTCTGCTGAGACAGATAAGCACAGATAGGATGAATCCTTCTGCCCTACTGAGGTCCCCTGTGGGCTCATTTCAATTCTCCTTAACCCAGCAACTGCACTGCCACCTCAAAAAGAGTCTGCTGGACCAGTCCTGGATACATGGTCTCCAGATCCACAGGGATGAAGATGAAGGAAGGGTTGGTTTAGCTGCCTCTGCTGGGTCTACGAAGAGCCATGGGAGGATTCTCCAACATGGACCACAGTGCTAGGCCTGCAGACAAAGCATTGCTCACCAGCCTGTCCCGCTTGGTGGCCCATTCCAGAGAGAGGAGTGGTGACTTGGAAATGGAGGACGCTTTGGTCTGCATGATGGGGTTGAAGGACCACACTTTGATGACCCCATCCACATCTAAGCTGGCGACCCTCCTTCCGGAGCAATCCACTCTGAGAAGAGGGAAAAGAGAGGGGTTAATATCCTGGCCTCATTCATCTTCAGCCAGTCCCAAAAGGTCTACATTCAAAAGCTAAATACAGACTGCTTCGAGAAGTATTCATTTATTCAAGAAATGCTATTCATGCACTGACTCTGTGGTACCCCATGGCAAGATTCACACACAGACCCAGTCCTCAGAGCACCTGCGATCTGGGATCGGGAGCTGCTCAAGGACCAGAGCACCTGGGGCTTAACAGCAACAGCAAGCATCCTCCCCCCCCGCCCCCCTGCCAGGCCTCATTCTGCAAGGATTTGTTCTGGAACGCCACATCCCTACCACATTTACAAATTCATTTTTATGGTGTTTCCCTAAAAGCACCAACATAAAGCACATTAAAATTAAGTGAGCTGTAGGGCTAACACAAAGCGTTAAGTTGTTCCTAAAACTAAGCAATACAGAATTTATAGGGGCAGGAATGGACCATTGCCATGGGAGGTTTGAGTAAGATTCAGAGGCAGCTACCCAACCCTCTCTGACCCTTCTAGGGAACCACCCACCATCCTTCCCCATGCTCTTGAGGACCACCTCTGAACACTCAGGCTTCCCTGGCCCCGCCCACCTGCAATGCATGATGGATGAGTGATGCTCCCCATACTCCTCCTGGCCCAGCACGATGAAGGGCTGCTCCGGACGGCCTCCTCCGCCCTCAGGGCCCACCATGGCCACCCGTGCCAGCGGCTCTACTGGCTCCATGTGGAGCTCCAGACAGGACTCAGCCTCTGGGCCACTGGCTTCCGGCTTCTTCTCTGCACCCTGTGGCCAGCAAAGCAGAGATCAGTCCGTTGGGATGGGATCAACACTGGGAGACTCTTGGTCACACGGATCCCAGAGGGCAGCTCTGAGATTTGAGGGCCGTACTCAGCTCGCCCGGGCAAAGTAGGGTAACTGCCCCAGGAGCAGTCCCTTCCAGGGGCCTCTGCCCGTCACAGGCCTGCAGAGGGAGAGGGGGCCCAGGCCCGCGTGCCCTATCACAGCTGAGGGGACTCAGGACACACCCTGCCTTGACAGGCCAGGCCTGGGATAAGGGGCACTGAATGCTCATAGTTTTACTCTCCTCAGTCATATGTGGTGCTGATATGCAGACCAAGACTGAAAGCAAAAGCTAACACCCTGCCCCAGGTCCCAGGCAGGCAGAGTCCCAGAGAGTCAAACTCAAGGTGCCAAGCCAGGGCTGTCAGAGATCACCTCAGACCTGACAGTGCACCCATTCCAGCCAGTGTCCTCCTAGAAACAAGAAGACTGAGAAACTGAGGCCACTGGCCGGACATGGAGAGAGAACTGAGCATAACAGGATCTACAGTGGCTGGATATCTAAAGTATCAGTCAACACAAATGGTCTGTGCGCATCACAGGACTCCCCCTAGGGACCCAGGTCTGCAGGAACAGTGGCTCCAAAGTAAGAAACAGGCGGGCTTCAGATCTAAGAGGTGTGTGGCTGCACTCCATACAGAAGCAGCTCCACCTGCAGAGCAAAGCCTTCAGGGTCTATTGTCACTACCCTGGGATCACTGCTGGACTTCCCTCTGCTAAAATGGCCTTTAAAACAGTTAAAAATCTGGGTGCTGGCTGCCCACGCCTGTAATCCTAGCTGTTTGAGAGGCTGAGATCTGAGGATCCTGCTTCAAAGCCAGCCCAGGAAGGAAACTTATCTCCAATTAACCACTAAAAAGCTGGAAGTGGGTATGTGGCTCAAGGGGTAGAACACCAGCCTTGAGCAAAACAGCTAAGGGTTAGTGCCCAGGCACTGAGTTCAAGAGCCAGTACCAACACAAAAACAGTTAAAAGCCCCACTAAGGAGCTAAGTGGTCAAGAAGGTGAACCAGTAAATCCCCTGGATTTCTGCTTCCGCCTGAAGTGTTTGGCCATAAGAGAAATAATTCAGGTTGCCAGGAAGAGCAGACCCTGACCACACTCCCAAGAATGTGCACCCCTGGCCCTGTGTGCCCCTTGGCTTGGGTGTGGCCAGAGCCTCTCACCGAGTGAGCACATGACTGTCAGGACAGCACCCCACAACTGCAGCGCAGATGGAGTCAGGGAAAGGAACTCTTGAGCCAGCAAAGCAGGGTGACTGGATGAAACAGACCAAGATCAGGGCCAAGTGAAGTGCCATGCAGTTGACCAAAGGGAAGCACTTGCACACGAGGGTCCCCAGAACTCCTCTTCAGAAGCCCTTCCAGAGGCTGGCCCTCGAGAAAGGCAGACGGAACAGGACCCCACACAGCCAAAACCAACGAGGAGAGACCACACCCTGGGCAGTGGCAGGACTCAGACTCAGACGCAAAGTAAGGCTCCTCTGAGGCTTCCATGCGGCCCCTCCGTACCTGGGAGGAGGTCGTGGAGAACAGCTCCTTCCTCTCCTTGCCATGGTCCTGCAGACGCCGCTGCCGCTGCTGCGCCCAGCTAGACTCCGACGCTGACGCACCTAAGAGGCTCTTCCCGTCCTTGGCTACCGGCCCCAGGTCCTTCCCCTTGATGGCCTAGGGAATGAGAAGCCAGCTGTGAAGTCTCTTCCCAGGCAGCGACACCATCCAGGCCTCCGCCTGAAGCAAGGGTCAGGGAACAGTATTGCCCTCCAACTGCTCCTGGGAAAAGCCCGCCCTGGCTGCGCTAGACGTCTTCAGATGCTGTGTCAGTGACAAGCGTGGAAAATGCAGATGGCATGCGGCCACACCATGGCCCAGGAGGTGCTACGTCTACCACACGTAGGCAGGCCCACGATGCCTGCCTACACTGTCCATGGTCCTCAGAGGTGTCCTGCTTCCGCACCTGCTGCACAGGGAAATAAGAACCTTGTCACCCTCTTCTTTCCTACACTGGATAAATGGTGTAAGGAGTACAAAGGCAATGCTCCCTGTCTCTGCAAAATCAAGATGACAAGAAAGTTGTCCAATGTATCATCATGCCAAAATGAAAACACAAACGGGGTGCAGAAGTGCAATCCTGAGGCAGAAGGATCGTGAGTTCAAGTCCAGTATGAGCTACCTAATAAGGCCCTGTCTCAAAAGAAGAAAATATACATACACATACAGGTGCTAAAAAAAGACATTGCAATCAATTAAGAAGTGCCTTTAAATAATAGGGTAATTTAAGCCAGAAGAGCCATAGACAAAAATTAACCTTTTAGTTCCTGCCTAAAGAACAGAAAGAGAGGTTGGACCTATGGCTCAAATTGTAGAGTGCTTACTTGCTTATAAGCACAAGTTCCTGAATTCAAAATCCCAACACTGCCAAGACAATTAAAAAAGAAAAAAAGAACTGAAGACAGCCTTCTCCTTCAGCTGTCGCCAAGGCAGTCCTAAGAGGAGCAATCATGAAAAATAATTATGGATTAAAGGCAGGGGGCCACTGGCTCATACCTATAATCCTAGCTACTCAGGAGGCTGAGATCTGAAGATCAAGGTTCAAAGCCAGCGCAGGAAGGAAAGTCTGTGACTTTCCTTATCTCCAATTAACCAACAAAAAAGCCAGGAGTGGAAGTGTGGCTTAAGTGGTAGAGTGCTAGCCTTTAGCAAGAAAGCTAAGGCACAGCACCCAGGCCCTGAATTCAAGTCCCAAGACCAGTACCAAAAATAAAAAAGCTGACAAAGTGCTGTAAAACACTTTCATAAGGATACTAAGGTACATTTATGTCATGCTATAAATGTATATAATTTAAATGGTTTTTTGTAACATGAACAAGCAACTGGAGTTTTTAAGGGCAAATCTCATAAAAATCTATTAGAGCCATACAACATTCCAATGGTTTTGAGTATCTTCTGTTACAATCTTTTTTTTTTTTTCTTTTTGCTTATGTGGTGCTGAGGAATCGAACCCAGGGCCTCACGCATGCAAGGCAAGCACTCTACCACTGAGCCACCTTCCCGGCCCTGTTACAATCTTGATTGTAACATGTCTTACTTTCACCTTTCAGGAGACAAATATAAGTTGACACCCATTCATTCTCAGTGGCCTGTGGATATCAAAAGGGACTCCAAAGCCTCTTGGCCAGGTAATCATCCAACTAGGACAGGAAACAAGTCCCAGTAATTTGGTCTTATCTGAAGCACCACAAGACCTTCCAGAAGACAGACTCTCACAAATTAACAGGAAGTTGGGCAGGGGTACCCATTCCCATCCAGCAGAACAACACAGGGTCAGCTCTGGGGGATGCTATCTCCTACCACTGTGTCTCAAGAGCTAAGACTTAATTTGATACTAATAGAGAAATACAGACGTATGAGGACACTTTGCTTTCTTTACATGACAGCCCATTAAAGCTTATCTCTGTAATAAGGTAATTCCCACTTGTCAGCCCGGCTCCCTCAGTAGGTATGAAAGGTGCAGAACTATACCTGAGCGGTGGCCGGGCAGCCAGGCCCGACTTGACCCATGATAACTTGCCTTCCACAGCTACTGAGATTCAAGACCCCAGAAGAACCTGGAACCTGTGGCTTTTGTGGGTACTTTTTGGTTTAATTTTGCCTCCAGACTCATATGGATAGCCTATTCTTTTGCAAGAATAATGCTATCAGCATTTAGTAATGATACAATGACTTATGAGCAGGCAAAAATGCTGATGTAAGTGAAATTTCAATGCTGTATACAAATCATATTAAAAACAGGAATCATTTTATATGGTAAAAATAAAATGCAATATGTATATGTATAGAGAGAGATAGAGAGAAAAAGAGAGAGAGTGCGTGTATGTTCTTTTACAGAAAAAGAAGGGCTCTGGTGTCGCAGAGAAAAAACAAGAACATGTGTTTAATACACAAACAGAGAAACAAAGCTTATTTACAAACCAGATTCAGTGCATACTGAATTCCAAAGAGTTTATTATCAAAATCACAGAAGTTCCTACCACACACTGCATTTGACATTGTTCAGAAAGAATCTAGAATGGTACACTTAAATTCTTAACTTAGGCATCAATTTTTTTTCAGTTTTTCTTTTTGTTTGATTTCGTTTTTGATGGCACTGGGGCTTGAACCCAGGGTTTCCTGCTCTGCTCATCTTTTTCGCTCCCAGCTGGTACTCTAGCACATGAGCAACACTCCAATTCCAGTTAGTTATTCAGAGAGAAGAGTCTTGTGGATTGTTTCCCTTTGAGCCTTGAGGCTCGGATCTCAGTCTCCTGAGTAGCTAAAGATTATGGACTCAAGCCGCCAATGCCTGGCTGAGCATGAAATTGTAATAGGACAGCCAGGATATCAACAATTTGCCATGGGAGGTTAAACAGCTGGGGAGAGAGAAGAATGGAGTGCTTGGCATAGAAAATGCAAGAAGTCTTACATACACTCTTCCCCACAAGGGAGAGGTAAGACCAGTGAATGGACATTATAGATTCCTACTAATAGTGCTCTCACAAGCATGTACCCCACTTTAACAAGCAGTGAGCTCCTCATCATAGAGAACTGTTCCTAGGCTCGGTGAGCCAGAGGACCTTTAGTTCTCCTTTCCACTCGAAAATTCTGTTATGTCCTGGATTCTCAAAACGACTAGTTACTTTAGTTACTGCACTGGAAATATCAGCACTGAGTTTAAACCACCACCAATAAAGAAATGACTGGGCCCATGAGTTTGTCAGGGCATAGATACCTGTGGTCTCCATTCAGGAACTGGAAACTCTGCTATGTAAACATACCACACAGTGACCCGACCTCTGTGCAGTCATATTTTTAAAAGACAAGGTAAAGAACATTTAGCTGCAAACTCTACATTTTCACCGCCATTCTTTGTCTGTAAAGTGCATAAAAAGTCCCCATACCACAGCAATGTCACCATGTGACACCACGGTTCCTGAGCGTACAGTGTGGCCACAGGCCACAAAGAAGCTCTTTGAGTGTTTGCTTTCACTTCAGGTTGGTGACGTTGGATTTCATGATATCAACCTCATTTCAAGGGACTCAACATTGCATACCATCTGCCCAGCTGATAAAACGTTACCTATGAGAGAGATCAGCCGCAAACAGCATGTTTTACTTGGTTATATTCCAAAGAATTGAAATATCAATTCCAAGACCGAAATTTTCAGCTTAGCACTGGTGGTTCACACCTATAAATAAAATAACCAGCAAAAAGTCAGGCTGGAGATGTAGCTCAAGTGGTAGGGTACCAACCAGGAAAACAAGCTAAGTAAACATTAAGCCCTGAGTTCAAACACCAGTTTAAAAATAAACAAATAAACAAATAAATTTGAAGAAAAGTAGTGGTATAAGTAACTATGATTGATTTTTAACTTCCTCTGCCTTCGTGGAGGCTGAGAGGATAGTGATTTTACATTAACTGAGGTCTCAGAACAGACTCAGATACCAAGTAAACAGGATCCTTCTGGAATCCACCTTCTACTAAAATTTACTGAGGGCTGTTTGCCATCTGCCAGACACAGCAGTCACCAAGGGATCTTCTATGGACTCCATTATTCCTCTCCAATTATCAACTCTCCCAAGCTAATGGAAGAAGTGAGTTCAAACAATACACAAGGAACCAGAGCTGAGAGTAAAGCAGCCTGAGCCCAGAGACCGTGGCCTGATTTACCTGCTGCCCTGCTCTGCAGCTCCAGATATGCTGCTAATCCTCACATTTCAGTGGCTGTCTGGGGCAGACTCCTACCTTCCCAAGGTACTGAGGACTGCTCCAAATCACTATATCATGTGCAACTCAAGCCAAGGTAAGAGGAAGGCACAGACTATGGCAGCTTACTTCATTGGTAGCTAATAAACATCATTCAAAGACAAGCAAGAGGCTAACTCTGGGTCTATTAAACTTTCATCCTGCAGGCATTTCTGAAAGCAATGAGTTCTGATCACCTCTTCTAGGAACGTGACTCAATATCTGGCCTATCTGGGACTTAAGCTGGACTCAAAGAAATCCTCTTGGGATCTAATATGAAAGTGAAAAATACTAACATTTCTATGCTGAATCAGCAAATACCAGCTTATAGGTGATGTACATGAATTTAGAGGTAACTGGGGCTTCAATTAAGGGCCTCACACTTGCTACACAGGCATTCTACTGCTTGAGCCATAATACCACCAGACCTTTGTGCTCTGGCTTTTGAGAGAGGGTCTCACTTTTTTTGTCTCAGCCAGCCTAGATGGCAACCTTTCTATATTACACTTCCCGTCATAGCTGGAATGACAGGTGCACCTACCATACACACAAATGTTTTGCACTAACTGACTCATACCTCAATCCTCCCAATCTCAGCTTCTCAAGAAGCTGAGATTATAGGTATGAGCCACTGAGCCTAACAGGTACCTCTTAACTTACACTATAGCCAAGCCCTTGTTTATGTCACCCAAAACTGAAAATCTCAGTCACTAGAACTCACACTAAAACCATTCAAACAGCCATAATCCCCATGAGTTGACAGGAAAATAAGAGATGATGACTTCTTGTCATCATCTACTCAGCAGGGTGTGAAGGACAGCTGAAAGTTGGCACAGAAGCTCAGAGTCAGTCAGAGGACAGCAGTCATTCGGGATCCAGGCCTGAGGTCACTGTATCAGCATGTCCAAATCTGCCCACTGCCTCAGCACCAGGCTCTGCTGAGCTGGCCAGAGGGCAGAACATGGGGGTGGACTCATTAAGTGGATTTGCCTCCTGTTTGCCTACTTCCTCCAACAGTCAGGTCTAGTCTCACCCTGCAGCTATCCCTGGTCTGTGGGGAGAAAGGAGGGGAAGGAGGAAGAAAGGGAATGAGGAGAGGCTGGGAAGGTGGCTCAGTGGTAGAGCACTTGCCTTGCATGCATGAGGCCCTGGGTTCGATTCCTCAGCACCACATAAGCAAAAAGAAAAAAGCCAGAAGTGGCGCTGTGGCTCAAGTGGTAGAGTGCTAGCCTTGAGCTGAAGAGCTGAGGGACAGTGCCCAGGCCCAGAGTTCAGGCCCACAACCAGACCCAAAAAAAAGGAATGAGGAATGAATTTAACATCACAGAGCACATCCAAGAACTTGGTGCTAGCAGAGAGGTACATGACAGGCAGATGCCAGAGACATCCTGGAAACTGTTAAGGAAGCCAGGACTGGTGCTTACCTGGCCACTGAAGGTCTCTTTCCTGGCCGAGCTCTGAGCCTGAGCAGGGCCTTGGGCAGGCGACAACCTTGAGGGGCTCTTCTTACTCTGAGGCAGTAGTGAGGACAGGAAGCCCACTCGGGGTGACTGGGAGAGTGAGGTGGTCCTCTGGCTGCATACCATGGCTCTGGCCAAGCAGAAACATCACAGGATTATGGGCTGGAGCGAGGTGGGGGCATCCAAGAATGTGGAGTCCTGAGCTATGAACAAGTTTAGTGACAGGGGCTTTAGCTAGGTTCTGCTGCCAGGGAATTGCCCTTAGTAACATACAAAGGGAGCTGGAGGCTTATCTGACTCAACACAGATGTCTGTGGTTCTTCACTGAAGACACCAGTAAAGCCGAGAGCTGCCTTGTCTGTGGCCAGAGGCCACATGTGCTACTGAGTTCATGACTGTGGTTCCCCCACATGGAAATATGCTGGGGGTAAGACACACTGGAACTCTAAGATTTAGCATGGAAAAAAGTGTAAGACAGCTCATACGTTTTGTTTCCATTCATCCCATGTTCAAAGTTCCCATATACTGGGCTACTGAAACACATCACTAAAATAAAATTTGTTTTTATGTTTTCAAAATTAAAACAAAAATGTAGCTTTTAGCTGGGTGCCCATGGCTTACGCCTGTAATTCTAATTACTAAGGGGGCTGTGATCTGAGGATCACAGTTCAAAGCCAGGTGGTGCAGGAAAGTTTGTGAGACTCTTGTCTCTAATAAATTGTCGTAAAAGCCAGAAGTAGAGCTGTGGCTCAAGTGGTAGTCTACCACTTGAGACACAACACTACGCTTTTTGACTGTATTTTGCTTTTGAGATATTGTCTTCCTACCTTCCCCCAGGTTGGCCTTGAGCTCTTGATCCTATCTCTGTTTCTGAACGGCTAGGATTACATGCATGGGCCACTCTGCCCAGCTGGCTAAAACTAGAGTAATTTCAACATACTTGGCTCCTACACCTGGATTTGTACTCTTTTTGCAAGTCATCAATTGTGTCACCTGTCTGTGCTTCTATTTCTTCAAGTGCTATTATTATTGTCCTTAGGCTGCTCTTACTTCTGTGTGTGTGTGTGTGTGAGTGTGTGTGTATGCACATATATGTGCTGGTACAGGGGACTTGAACTTAGGGCCTGGGCACTGTCCCTTAGCTTTGTCACTCAAGGTTGGCACTTGAGCCATTGTTCCACGTCCAATTTTTTGCTGGTTAATTGGAGATAAAGAGTCTCATGGACTTTCCTAACCATGTTGGCTTCAAACTGTGAGCCTCTGATCCACAGTAGCTAGGGGTACAGATATAAACCACCAGAGCCCAGCTTATCTATTTTACTGTTTAAACTGTTTAAACCTTGAGTAACATGCTTCTCTTGAAGAATGCATCCCCTTAAATGCTCTTATAGCCTTCTATATTGAGATATTCCTCCCAATACACAAAAATTTCTTAAGACTTTACCATAACAGATATATTCTATTGGTCCAGGCTATGCATATCTGGATATGTAGGCTGCTGTCACAGCTGTGCGTTCACCTGGCCCTCAGGAAGACACACAGGCTTAACAGTTAAGAACAACTCACAAAGGAGTTTACTAATAAAAAAAACTGAAGCAAAGGCAAGGGTTCCAAAGGGCTCTCTGGCACATCTCTCTTAATGGGTAGAAGGTCATGGTGAGGCCTGGTCAGGGGGAAGCTCAGGCCCTACAGAGAGCACAGAAAGCAGAAAGAGGGAGCAGAGGCCAGCCCTCATGCACTCACAGCTCAGAGTCCCCAAGGCGGTCCATACTGGAGACATAAGGAGGCAATTTGTGTTGGACCAGGGTCTCTTCCTCTTCAGGCTGCTGTTCCTCCTTCTTCAGTCGATGGATTTCAGCTTGCAATGCAAAAAGCTATGGAAGAGTGGAGCGCCATTATTCAATAACCTGACCTCACCTTTCTTCTGCCTATGGAGATGTTTAAATGTGTTACATCCAAACCCAAACTCCAAGCACCCTCCCATTTCTGCTGAGTGTACAATGGTAAAATGAAAGAGCCAGAGTAGATCCTGGCCTAGAGCAAATCAATGACGTCAAAAGCCCTGACCTATGCAAACCCCACTGTTTTGAGCTTTTTATCATTTGATTTCATTCATTTTTACTACTTGGCTAGCACCTTACAGAATTTGCCAAGAAAAAGTGGCTCCATCGTGCTTTGCTCTTGATAATCTATAGTCAGTCTTTACAACTCACATAGAAAGAACTTTTTTTTCTCTTTGTGCCAGTTCTTGAGTTTGAACTTGGGGCATGGGCAATGTTCTTTAGCTTTTTCACTCAAGGCTGGCATTCTACCATTTGTGCCACATCTACTTCCTGCTTTTTGGTGGTTAACTGGAGATAAGAGTCTCACAAGACTTTCCTGCCTGTGTTGGCTAAGAACTATGATTCTCAGATTTCAGTCTCCTTAGTAGCTAGGTTTCTAGGTGGAAGCCACCAGTGCCTAGCATAAAAAAAAATTTAATGACATCAAATCTTTAACATTTTGTGAAAAAAAACTACACATATATTTGATTCCTTCTGTACAACTACTTGAAGCTAATCTTTTTAAAAAAGAAATCAGGGGCTGGGAAGGTGGCTCAGTGGTAGAGTGCTTGCCTTGCATGCATGAGGCCCTGGGTTCGATTCCTCAGCACCACATAAGCAAACAGAAAAAAAAAAAGCCAGAAGTGGCGCTGCGGCTGAAGTGGTAGAGTGCTAGCCTTGAGCTGAAGAGCTGAGGGACAGCGCCCAGGCCCAGAGTTCAGGCCCCATGACTGGACCCAAAAAAAAAAAAAGAAATCAGATGAGGGGGCTGGGAAGTTGGCTCAGTGGTAGAGTGCTTGCCTAGCATGCATGAGGCCCTGGGTTTGATTCCTCAGCCCCACATAAGCAGAAAAGGCCAGAAGTGGTGCTGTGGCTCAACTGGTAGAGCACTAGCCTTGAGCTGAAGAGCCGAGGGACAGTGCCGGGGCCCAGAGTTCAGGCCCCACAACCGACAAAAAACAAAAAGAATCAGATGGTCAGTAAGGAAAAAAAAAGAGAAAAGAAAAAAAAGAAAGCTGTTCTTATGCACACATACCCAAATTCTAAGAATCATAACCCCCAAACCTAAGCTTATAAGCTTCCTTTTTCTGACTGCAACTCCATTTCAGGGCAGGGTAATGTCTCAAATAACATATAGAAGCAAGCATGGACACCCTGGATCTACTGTTTTATCAAGCAAGAGAAACACGTAGCTACATAGAAACGATTACATTACACCAGGGTAGTAGACAGTAAATATGGGGCTCTATCGGGCGAAAGACTGAAAAAAAACAAATACACAGAAAAATGGGTGAGATGCAAGTGAGCTACACAATCATCTTTTTCTTCTTACCAATTTATTCCTGTTGCTACATTGCTTATGCAGCACAAAGGCATTTACAACATGAATGTGTCCCCAATACTAATTTTCTGGTGACTCACTTTCATCTAAGACAGTTCAGCTCTTCTATATTTAACCAACCCTCCATTGATGCTACCCAATTCCACACCCCAAAAGCAGAAGTGCTTCCCAGCTTCCAGGGAGTGAGCCTGCCCTGAACAAACCTTCTGACGCAGGACTTCATTTTCTTCTTGAACCTGATTGGTCCTCTGGAACTCTGCATCAAAGTTCAGGATCACAGGAACTGGTGCACAAAGTTAAAGAATAAGCCTTATGTGAGAGCAGTTAAAAGTCCTTCTCAAATCCTTGACATAGCAGCAAACACTTGAATAGGAACATATAAGGAACAGAAGACAGAACTGGTGCTGTGGAAATGAAAGTCTCCCTGTGGCCTGCCACTCCAGAGCAGCCCGCTTCATTTCTCCAATGGTGGCCATAAAGAGCTACTATTCAGTGGGCTTCATAGACCACTAGCCAAGGTCAAGGCAAGCACTTGGCTAAAAGTAACCTTGGAAGCAGGATCAGCCACTAGATTTTCCTCTTCCCAGGTCAAATTCTCCCTACCAAAGGCTTAGATGGAGTCAAGAAAGCATTCTGGACAGGTAATGGTGGCACACACCTATAATCCTGGTGACTCAGGAGGCTGAGATCGGAGGATCTGCCTGTGCAGAAAAGTCTATGAGACTCTTATCTGTAATGAGCCAGCAAAAAGCTGAAAGTAAGCCAGGCACTGGTAGCCTATAGCTGTAATCTTAGCTACTCGGAAGCTGAGATCTGAGGATCGTGATTCAAAGCCAGCCCAGGCAGGAAAGTCTGAGAGTCTTATCTCCAATTAACCACCAGAAAACCAGAAGTGGCACTGTGGCTCAAGTGGTAGAGCAATTATCTTGAGCTGAAGAACTCAGGGACAGCTCTCGGGCCCAGAGTTCAAGCCCCCTGACAAAAAAAAAAAAAGCTGGAAGTAGAGCTGTGGCTCTAAGTCTTGAGAGGGAAAAGCCAAGAGCCACAGCACCAGAATAACAAAAAAAGCATTCTGCAGACTACACAACCACATGTCACCCCATAAACACTCATGTTTTAGATCAGAGTGTTGGTCTTTCCTAGCCACCCCACACAGCTTAAGTCAGGAGCACCACCACGCAGGCAAGATCTCAGGCCTGGGGAAGTGGACTGCAGATCACATGTGCATGACCTAGCTTGCAGCTCACTGCCCTAGGAAAACCCGGGTAGTCACGCCACCCTGTCCTGCTCACTTCTTCACAAAGCCCTTCCTTCACAAGGATGGAAATGCAGCACGAGAGGAGAAAGGCACAGCTGGAAAGGACAATATTCAGGCTCACCCATAGTGTGAAAGGAAAAAGCAAAGACAGGAACTATACAATGTTCCTTTCAGAGGCCATTTTGGCCTCCAGTGGGTAGGTCTCTACAATGCCCAAACTTATCAGTGCTTCCTCAGCTAGGCCCATTCAAACAAGATTCCCTTCTCCTCCCCCTAGATTCCTCCATTTCTAGCCTAGGAGCATAAACAACAAGGCATGCCTGGGCCTCAGGACAAAATGGTACACTTGATAGACTAAGTTGTTATATGCATTCTTATTCTCTTGTGTTCTCGTTCTCTCTCTCTTTCTCTCTCTTTTTCTCTCATTCTCTCTCTCTCCATTCCTCATTCCCTCCCTGCCTCCCTCTCTCGCTCTGTCTCTAGCTCTCGTGCCTACTTGAACATTTTTAAAGTTTCTCTGTTTTCAGAAACACTGGAGTCATTGTCCCAGTGATACTAACTCAGGCAGCAAGTTCCAAAGCTAGAAGTGTTCTCATCTGCTACCAAACCCCAGCAAAGGCATTCGATATCCCCCCAGAGACACAAAACCCGCACAGAGAATACTCTCAAGCCTGCTGTATTCCACCAAGAAGCAACTGCCTTCTCCCACCCTTGCCACACACCACACCACCTCCATGCCCATTGACAAAGCCAGGTGCTAGCATCCCTGCTGCTGCCAATAGCTCTACCCACACGTCAGCTACTTCCTTAGCAGAACCAACATCAGAACTAAGATTTCTAACGCTGACCTCCTGACAATAATAACCACAATTTTCCACCCTTATCACCCCATGAAATATGTCAAGTGATTGAGCCTCAGGCATTTCGTTAAAGACATGGCTGTACTGTGAGCACTGGCTACTGATCCCACTGTCTGGATGCCCCAGACTGAGCTTGCAGCCCCAGAGAGCAGAAAGGATATGCATGCACTGAAACAGGACGCTCAGGAAGTTGTGTAGGGACACAATGAAGGTGTCTGCCCATTGTCGAGAAAAGTAGGTAGCAAAAGTGGGGTTGGTGTCTGGAGATGGCAGGAAGGGCAGGACAAACCAATCTTTCCACTCGGCCTGGTTCTGGAGCTCTGTGGCCTGCTTCGCAAAGAACTCCTGAGCTTTGTCATTTCTGTTGGTCTGTAAAGACACAAAGAAGGCAGCAAGGAGGGATGAAGGGTGGACAAATGCAGCAGTGGTACTCACTGGACACTATGTTGAAAATGAACTATACCATTTGTGGGTAGAGATGGGAGGTTAAAAAAAAAAAAAACAGAGAGCGAGGAAAGGAGTGACATTGTCCAAAAAGAAATGTACTCTTTAACTTACTTGTATAACTGTAATCACTCTGTTCATCGCCTTTATAGTAACATTTTTAAAAAATAAAATAAGAATAAAGAAGGTAGCAAGGAGTGGGGAGAGGCAGAAGTCCACAGACTTCATCACTGCCAGGGAGACACACTTTGGACACTTGGACACTTGACAAGACAGGATCTACCACTTGAGAAAAGTCAAGGATTATGTAACTTCAAAGCTGTTTAAAACTGTGGTCCTAAAGACATAATGCCATCCTGAAAACTAATCCTTACTTAATGCTCAAATCACCTGAGTTCTGCCTCCAAAATCAGTATAATCTTTATTATTTGAACTTTCTATTCTATATATTAGATTCTATATATTTCTATTTATTTCTCAGTACTTCTCTATATTTATAATATCTGTATTATAGATAATGCATTTATACACTATATAAATATATATTTATATAGCTATAATCTTTATTACTCATAAGGGGGGGACAGGAAGGAGGACAAGAAATCAGATGATCCACAGATAGTGTGAAGGGACAGAGAAAGCAAGAAAACAGAAATAATCTGCACAGTGGCTGTTCTTCTCTTTCCCACAGTAACATACAGAATCCTGCCTAAAGATTAGAACAAAATCTGTTTCTGGGTTAAAGAGCTCTCGCCACTAAAGGTCACAGAATCACTGAATCAACAAGTACCTGGATTGTGTAGACAAGATAAAAGCGGAAGAGGCTGGTTTTCAGCTTGTTGATGGTGGGTCTATAGATATCTTCCAAACGGCTGAAGAGCCGTCTTTCCAGGTAGCTCCAGTAATCCCGAAGGGCAGCCAAGTCGTACAGCTGCATTAACTGCTGTAGCTGGTCCACAATCTTGTCCACCTAGAGAGAGGAGGTAGCGCTGGAGAAGGTGGGGAGGAAGACAGAGCGAATTCTCCCTCTCCATAGAATACGGTTTTGTGCATTTACTATGGTTTCTGGATGTCAGAAAACTTTGAAGGTGGCAAATCTATAAAATTTTCGAAACATATCAACATCACACATGTTTTTCTGATGCAAGATATATGACTTGACACTCTTAACAAGTACGGAAATTTCAGGTATAAAAAGCCTCTGGCAGGGGCTGGGAAGATGGCTCAGTGGTAGAGTGCTTGCCTTGCATGCATGTGGCCCTGGGTTCGATTCCTCAGCACCACATAAGCAAAAAAAGCTGGAAGTGGCACTGTGGCTCAAGTGGTAGAGCACTAGCCTTGAGTTGAAGAGATGAGAGACAGTGCCCAGGCTCAGAGTTCAGGCCCCACAACCCGCCAAAAAAAAACGCCTCTGGTGGCTGGGAGGCTGAAATCTGAGAACTGAGGTTCAAAGCTAGCTCAGGCAGTTATGTGTTACACTCTTATCTCCAATTAACCACCAAAAAGCTGGAAGTGGAACTGTGGCTCAAGTAGTAGAGCACTAGCTTTGAGCAAAAAAAGCTCAGGGAAAGTGCCCAGGCTCTGAGTCCTTAACCCAGCAATACACATACACAAACACACCCCTCTGGCCCAGGAAGCAAGAGATCTGATTCCAGATCCAACCTACCAATTCAACCAAAAAGGCAGTAAGGGTACTGAAATGATTGGCTTTTACCAAGTAACCAGTAACCTCCTCCTCCAAGGAAGAAGCTAGATCTCCTAATTCACGCCTTCCCTTCCTGCTAACTCACAAGCTCTGCCAACACCAATTCAATTCAGCACATTCAAATCACAAGCACAGAAATTCCAAGTTTAAAAAAAAAGAAGAAGAAAGAAAGGAAGGAAGAAAAATGAAATTCCAACTACCTCTAAACTAAAAATCTCAGGGGCAATGTGTTTTAAAACGTGCAAATTAAGTATTCCTAAACGTGCTGAAGCAAAATCAACATTGCCAAAGGGTCTCTGACAAGGCTATTTCTTTAACCACCACCACAGACACTTGAACCCAGACAGCATAGAGGTCGCACAAGCCAGCCCTTCGCTCCTGCAGCCCCGGGATGCAAATCCTTGGAATAGTTCTCCTCCGACCAGAACTTAACCATCTACCCCATCTTGCCTCTTACAACTGGGTCGCCACGCCGGCCACCCCCCCAGGCAGCCCCTGCTGCGAGGCCGGGCGGGGGAGAACGGAGCCCCGGAGGCAGGGCGCCTGGGCCCCAAGGCTCCTGACAGGCTGAGCAATTTCTAGCAAGTCACGGCCACCTCGGGGCCTCAGCGCCTCCACGGCCAAGCCGGGGCCGAGCCGGGGCCAGGCGCGGGGTGTCTCGGGCCCCGCTTCCCCCCAGCGTCGCCCAGCCTCGGAGGGCAGGGCTGGGGGAGGGGGAGGAGACCCGCTCCCGGGCTCCCCGGGACCGCTTCACCCGCGCCACGCCCGCCGGGGCCCTCACCCGGAACCCCTTCTCCTTGTCCGCCTTGATCTCGGCGTCCAGCTGCCGCAGAGTGTGCGTGAAGCCGCGGAAGAGCAAGTACTCCCGGACCAGCTCGTCGGTGCGCTCCACCGCCTCCGCCATCGCGGTGCGCGCCAGCAGCTCGGAGGACCGCGACAGCCAGCGACGGGGGGCGGGGCCTGCACAGGACAGGGCGGGGCCCGGAGCGCGCTCCAAGTACGTCACGCGCTGGCTAGCCTACCAAACCGCAGGCCCCACCCCCAGGCCGGGCCCCCTCCTTCTACCCCGCCCCTGCCTGGGCGGGGCCCCGCCTCCTGCTTCTCTGGATACGCCCAGCCTGAGCGGGTGGCCACGCCCTCCCGCCCGCCCAGTGGGGGCGCCTGGAAGGGTCGGGGTAGGTTTCAGGCAACGCTGGTGCTGGCTTTGTCTTCTCAGTTTAGCTCCCATCCCAGTCAAGTAGGAGTGAACCTTCGAGATCATCTCAGATGGTCGGGAGAGGCCGGGCGTGAGGTTGCTAGGTTTTGGCGACAGTGTATCCAGGAATCCTTTGTCAGCTGCCCTCCTTTTTACAAATCGGAGAAAGTGCAGGAAACGGACTGTGTGCACTTGTCACGCAATCAGTGTGTCAGAGAGCTCTACACCCCAGAGTTTACACGGCAAGAAGCCAAGAGGCGTTGCTGAGCCACCCTTGCTATGGTCCCATTCTTTTTGTTGATTTGGTTTGGGGTTTTTGTTTGTTTGCTTGCTTGCTTGCTTTGTTTTGTTTTGTTTTTTCTTGTGCTAGTCCTGGGACTTGAACTCAGGGCCTGGGCACTGTCCCAAGGCCCACAGTCCCACCACTCAAGGCCAGTTCCTTACCACTTAAGCCACAGCTCCACTCCCAATTTTTTTTAGGGGGGAGAACAGAGGGGTTGATTAATTGTAAGAGTCTTGAAGCCCTGCCTGGCTTTGGAAGGCCCAACCTCAGATCTCAGCCACTGGAGTAGTTAGGATTATAGGCGTAAACCACACCCGACTGTTCTAAAGTATGAGTTGTGTTTGTGTGTACATTTTTAAGATTCAGGAACATTACAGCTTGACATCTTACATTTATTTTCTGGAATGTGAAACTGAAGGACTTTCAGTTCCTTAAAAAAAAAAAAAAACAAACTGGGAGCCGGGAGCCAGGAGGCTGAGATCTGAGGATCACAATTCAAAACCAGCCCTGGCAGAAAAGTCCTGAGACTCTCATCTCCAATTAACTACCAGAAAACGGGAAGTGGCGCTGTGGCTCAAGTGGTAGAGCGCTCACCTTGAGCTGAAGAGCTCAGCGACAGTGCCCAGGTCCCGAGTTCAAGTCCCACGACTGACAATAACAAAAATGGTTTTCACACACACACACACACACACACAAACTTGAAGCTTCTTAGAATTTTTTGTCTTTTAATTGGATTTCTTTTATTTATTGTTTATGTGGTACTAAGGAATTGAACCCAGGGAGGGCCTCATGCATGCTAGGCAAGCACTCTTATCACTAAGACAAGCTCCCAACCCTAAAGTGTAAATATTTTTATGAGTCAAAAAATAACTAATAAAAAATAACTTAAAGCCTTGCTTTCTTCATCTATAAAATGGTAAAGATTTGGGGTAAGATAATTCATGAAAATGGTTCAATGTACAGCTCTATGGTATAATGAAATAAACATTCTTTTCTCCTTTCTAATCGTGTGGCTTATGTTTGTCAAATACAACTAAGAATCATTACCACTACTGTGCTCAGACCATCTAATTCTATGTGGAATTTCTGCCTCTGGTGCAGATGACTGCACTACAGAAAGTCAGACATAACAAAAAGCAAGCTCTGGTGAGGTGGCTGCATGTTTTGCCTTCTTGCCTGCTTTCCCTGCCTCTGTCTACTGGCTAGAACTCTATGAATTGAGTTTCCCTAGAGCAGTGGAGGCCTGCTACCAGGGCCCTCCCTTTCCCCACCTCCATCTGTCCCTGGCATTTCCCATACCAGAGCCTATAAAATCAGCTAAGACTAGATTTCTGATCAATGAAAGGCAGCTCCTCAGAACCCTCATACAAAGCCTTTGCTCTACCTGGAAAGTCTTCTCCCAGTGAACCACATGGTAAGCTATTCCTTCCAGTGTTTGCTCCAATGTCATTCTTTTGCTTCTACAGGCCTCTTTAACAAAAATGCCACAATCTGGGTAGCTTATAAACAAAAGAAATGGTTCTGGAGCCCAGAGAGTCCAGTATCAAAGTTCTGTCAGAATCAGAGCCTGCTGAAGGCTTACTCTGGCTCACACATGGCACCTTCTAGCTGTGTCCTCACATGGTCCTCTCGTGACAAGGGGCTCTGTGGGATCTCTTTTGCAAATCCACTGATTCCATCCATTTGAGTTCTGCCTCTGTGACCCAAGCACCCTCCAACATAGCTGCACTGGGGACTAGATTTCAACAAACGAACATGTAAGGGATACAAACACTCAGATGCTAGCAATGGCCTTCTTAAATAAGGCCCTCTCTGATTGTTCTAACATAATACCTCACACCTAGTACTTTTACCCCTCTCCCTTATTCCCTTGTATTTTTCTTTTTTTTTTTCCGGTTGTAGAGCCCGAACTCTGGGCCTTTGCACTATCCCTAGCTCTTCAGCTCAAGGCTATTACTCTACAATTTGAGCTACAGCGCTATTTCTGGCTTTTTCCTGCTTATGTGGTGCTAAGGAACTGAACCCAGGGCCTCATGCATTCAAGGTAAACACTCTACCACTGAGCCACCTTCCCAGCCTCCTCCCTTGTATTTTTCTACCTCATATATATGACCATCTGACAATATCAATTTTTTACTTATGTAATGTATTGACTTTTCCCACCCAACTAAAACATAAGCTGAGTAAAAGCAGAGATTATCATCTGTATTGTTTGCTACTATATCCCCAGGAGAGATTATAGCATTGTACTCAATAAATGCACAGGAGAGGCAATTTCAGATAGTACCCACCCATCCCCAAGCAGGGCAACCCTATTAGAGGAAATGTAATAATAAGTTACTGTGGGTTTTGTGCCCATCTGAATGGTACTTGGTCTAAAATATTCCTCTTCCCCTTCATACCACTTTACACATTCTCAGCTGCCCTGTCGTTATGTAACCGGAGAAGGCATTGCTTCTCCAGCTCATTCATTAACTCTAGTTGAGCTGATTAGTGCCTCACTGCGTATGTTCTGTTCCTGCTGTGAAGGTACAAAGTGACAGTGGGGTCCATTTAAGAAGGTGCTGCCAGGAACTACATCAGTTCCATTATGCACAGAAGATTACACACAGCCCACAAGACAAACAACAGATCATCTTTCTAATCCAATGACCTCTCTTTGCCTTTAAATTTTAGAGCTGAGAGGAAAGGAAAAATAAGGAACTTAGGGACAGGGAACATATACTTAATGGGTACCTACTGTGTACCAGGTACTATGGTTGATGTCAGGAAGTGGCTTGATAATAAGCAAGACCAGGATCCCTGCCTTCAGACAAATCCCTGCCAGCTGTCTGGGATTCACAGGGCAGAAGAGGGATTAGACCAGAGCTGTGTCTAACAGAAAGCTAGAGTCCCATCTGTGCTGTAGTCTAGGGTAGCTAAATCTTTTCTGGCTGGAGTCATTTTCTATTAAAAATCATGAATGCTGTTAAACTAAGAATGTCTAATCTTGCACTTCTATATTTCAGTTTTTTAAGCATAGAATTTCACACCTGAATAATTAAATATTCTTAAAAATAGAAATTGTGAGGTGGGGCCTTGGGGACTCACGCCTATAATCCCAGCTACTCAGGAGGCTGAGATCTGAAGATCACGGTTCAGAGGCAGTCTCGGCAGGCAAGTCCATGAGATTCTTATCTCCAACAAACTATCAGAAAAAGCCACAAGTGGTATTGTGGCTCAAGTGATAGAACACTAGCCTTGGACAAAAGAAGCTCAGGGACATGGCCCAAGCCCTGAGTTCAAGCCCCAGGACCAGCACATTAGAAAAAAAAAATGTTTTTGAACTGGAGGTGTGTGTTGAATGGTAGAACACTTGCAAGTTCAAGGCCCTGAGTTCAAAATCTCAATACCACACAAAATAATAAAAAAATTGTTAAGGACTACATAATATTGTATGGAATGGTTGTAACCTAGTTTATAGATTCTTCATTAAGTGACATGTTGCACATTGTAATTGTTTCAAATTTCCCTTTTCCCCTGTAGTAATAGACTCCAGTATGTGGAGTCAGTGTGAAAAGATGGAATTGGGCTTTTACAGTGTCCCAGGTGACCACATTCTGAAAGATTCTTTTGTGCTAACTATACTGTATTAGGGCTTGAGTGAGATATCATGATGCTACTTTGGGAAATCTTTGAGTGACAAATAAAACTGTCACACAGTCAGCATGTCTGATAGCATTGGCATAAAGAATATGTCTTGACATTTATTTCAGAGGCATCATAATCGCAAACTACCTGTTCATTTTTCTTGAGACGCCAGAATGCCACAGGCTCTTGGATGTAGTCAAGGACTGGGTAATCAGACAGCCCCTTTGTGCACCTGAAACTGAAAAGGACAGGGATGGGAGGTCAAAATACAAAGTTTAATATGTATGTCCATGGGGCTGGGAAGGTGGCTCAGTGGTAGAGTGCTTGCCTCACATCCTTGAGGCCTTAGGTTCGATTCTTCAGAACCACATTAGCAGAAAAAGCCTGAAGTGGCACTGTGGCTCAAGTGTTAGAGCACTAGCCTTGAGCTGAAGAGCTCAGGGACAATGCCTAAGTGCAGAATTCAAGCCCCACAACTGACAAAAAAAATATATGTATGTCTATATATATATGTGTTTATTATGACAGTAGTAGGACTTGAACTCAGGGACTGGGTGCTGTTGTTAACTTTTATATTCAAGGTTAATGTTCTTTGTCTTAAGCCATAGCTCTACTTTCAAAGTTTAATTTTTAAAAGTATGATGCAGAACTGCAGATGCAATACCATTTCTTCATATAATATTTTTGCCAGACATTGGTGGCTCATGCCTGTAATCTCAGGAAGCTGAGATGTGAGGATTGTCAGTCCAGGCAGGAAAGTCTACTTAAGGACTTTCTAGTTAACCACAGCATTGAGCTATGGCTCAAGTGATAGAGTGCCAGCCTCGAGCAAAAAAGCTAAGGGACAGCACCCAGGCCTTTAGTTCAAGCCCCAATACCAGCACAAAAATAAACACATAAATAAATAAATAAATAATATACACAACATATAATACTTTTGTACTTTTTATAGATATACACAAAATATTACCAATTATTGGTTGTGGGTAGTAAAGATGTTGGATTTTTTTTTTACTTGTCATGTGCTTTCTTCTTGTTGTTTTTCCAGTACTGGGGCTTGAACTCAGGGCCTAGGCACTATCGTTTAGTTTTCTTTTCACTCAAAGCTGGCACTCTACCACTTGGGCCACATATCTACAAAATATTTTCTGGTATTTCTCAAAATCCTTAACTATGGACATATCTTCAACTTGTAATTTATAGGCATAATGAGTGTAATCTTTTATAGCCATATGTTTTTCTGTCATATTTCAGTGCCAACTCATTCAAAACTCTTACCAACAGACTCCCCCAAATTTTCCAACATAAATTGCTGCCAAACTCAGAATTTCTAATCCCATATTTCCATAATTGAGTTTTCAAACCACATATAAGACTTCATGTCTGGATCATTTCTCTGGTTCTTAGCTTCCTTGGCTGCTATGTAAAGACCTTAGATTAGAAGGAGCCTGAGCATCTTCCAGTCCTGCAGTTCCTACAAGGCACCTGCTGGGAACCTTGGTCTGTTTGATCTTAGACATTGAAAGTGACCCACCTACCTTCTCTTACATCTCAGACTGATCACATCTCCTTGACAAGTAGCTCAAAGCAGACTTAGAATCTCCTGGGCCTCCATCCTTTTGTATATCCCAACGGCAACAAATCCCTGTTTGCATGGGACAGCATACTACCAATAAATCTGTTCATAGTATGAATTAAGTCTATGAGTTTATGAGTCTATAAAACCATCTGCTTTCACTGCTAGAACAATTCAAGCCTGGAAAGTTAATAAATAATATGGCTTTTGCAAACACCATCTGCAAGTCAACCCTATTACCACATTTCTGGAAAACCAACTCCAAAAATGTCTTCCATACAGTTTTACCCTTCTGCAAGACCCCTGTAACAGATGCCCTCGGCCCTGCCTCTCCTGCCCCTTTCCCTCTGCTATGAGCAGCTGGCTAGATCAAAAAGGCCGGAGTGGGATTACAGATCAGTTTCCACAACCTCTCTGTCCCCTCTCAGATAAAGCCAAGTCTCTCCAAGACAGAGTCTCTCAGACTACATACCCTGTGCTCCACCAGGCCCTAGGGATGCTGCTGCTGGGGCTAGTGGCGAATAGTGAGCCAGGAGCAGAGGGAGAATGGAGGAACAAGAAGCTCTCAAGGAGCTGAGAGGCCCTGATTCAAAGGCTGCCTGAGAGAGTTGTAAGGGACAGTGTCAAAATTTGAAAGAGAAATTAATATCTGTTTACTTTGTGTGTGTGTGTGTGTGTGTGTGTATGTGTGTGTCTGTGTGTGTGTTTTACTGGGGGTGACGGGGATTTGAACCCAGGGCAACATTTCAGCTATGTCTCAAAATCTTTTGTCTGTATTTTTTTTTTTTTGGTCAGTTATGGGGCATGAACTCTGGGCCTGGGTGCTGTCCTTTAGCTCTTCAGCTCAAGGTGATCACTCTACCAGTTGAACCATAGTGCCACTTCGGGTTTTCTGAGTGGTTTATTGGAGATAAGAGTCTCAGGGACTTTCTTGCCTGGGCTGGCTTTGAACCATGACTCTCAGATCTCAGCCTTCTGAGTAGCTAGGATTACAGGTATGAACCACCGGCACCCGGCTGTATTTAATTTTTTGAGACAAGGTCTCACTAATTTTGCACGGACTGATATAAAAAAAACTCTTGATCCTCTTCTGTCTGGCTTCTGAGGAGTTATTGGAGTAACCAGAATGTGCCATCATGCTCAGCTGAGGGAATGTACATTTTACATTTTCCTCCAAGGAGAGAAGTGACTCCTACTAGACAGGTTTTTGTTGATATTGTTATTGTTGTTGGTGTTGGTGCCAGTCTTAGGGCTTGAACTTGGGGCCTAGGTGCTGTCCCTGAATGTTTTATGCTCAAGGTTAGTGCTTTTCCACTTGAGCCACAGCTCCACTTCCAGTTTGGGGTTTTTTGGGGGGTGGGGGTGGTTGGTAGTTAATTGGAGATAAAAGTCTCATGGACTTTTTTGCCTAGACTGGATTCCAGTGGCGATCCTCAGATCTCAGTCTCCTGGGTAGCTGGGATTGTAGGCAGCACCCAACTAGACAGTTGTTTTCTTTTTGTGTGTGACAGGATTGTTATATATAATGCATTATTTATCATTCCAACAAAATTCTTTGCAAGACTGTCTGTGAGTGCTTCAGACTCAAATTTAAGGCACCTCACTGCAGGGTTGCATAGGGGCTCATCTATCAGCACTGTGAGTGAGGTGTGTGCTCTGTGGCAGCAGGAGCCATGGGGCATGGGGAGGGAGTGGGGAGGGGATGGGATGCTCACCTCAGGTTAGACTCCAGCAAGGAGAGGCTTCCCCCCGGGCTGGTGTATTTGTTGAGCAAATATACAGGCCAGTCCTGGTCCTGCTGAGCTACAGCTGGAATGGTGGGGTCCCGTTCAAATGAAATATTTTTGGATATTAGGGATACTAGTAAAAAACAAGAAGCTTAAGGGCAAGAGCACAAGGAAGGAAACGAATTTTCTAAAGCATGTTTTCTTCCATCTGAGCTTTTGAAAGGCCGTTTCTTAGTCCTCCCTCTTGCATTTCTTCTTTCCCTATGACCTGTGCGGCGCTCTGTCCAGGGTGCCACCTTTCCTCCCACCCTCAGGATGAGCCTGTCTGATAGAGCCAGCGGCATCACCTCAGGATGAGAAACCCGGGCGAGTGGCAAGGCGGGAAGGTGAGAAGGTGAAAAGGTCATGCCCGCCCTGCCCTGCCCTTGCCCTGCCCTCGCCCTGGCGGCTACCCTAGGCTGCATCCCTCGGGAAAACTTGCGGCTGGTCTGTCCACTGCTCGACTCCCATTGGCCGGCCACCTCGCATCCCATTGGCTGAGGGGCGCAGAGATGGTGATGATTGGTTCGCACCCTGTGCAGAGGTGTCAGGTTCATCTCGTGCGGGGGGGGGGGGGGGGGGGGGGAACAGGAACCCCACGCTTCACTCCAGAGTCAGGCAAGGGGAGACACACGGCTGTCAGGACTCGGGCTAACTCCCGGTGTCCCGTGAGAGGAACTCGGTCTCAGTCGTGGGCTTGCTGCCGGCCTCCTCAGTGTGTGAGTATCCTGCCCGCGTATCCCCTGATGGATGGGCACCCCTGTTCCCAGGGTGCTTCCAACCCATGTATCCTAAGACTGCTCGTAGGCCACCTCGATTCCTACATAGTGGAGAACCAGTTTGAATGTTCCTCTTTTTAAAAAAAAAATCCCCATTTTCTTCTTTGATTTCTATTTACATATGCATACAAAGTCCAAAGGGAGCTGCCTGAGCGCTTTTAATATGTCATCCAGTGTGTTGGAACTTTCATTTAGTATAGGTTTTGCTAATGAGAATAGGCCACAATGAAAAGTTTTGTGAAGTGATGTGTGTGTGTGCGTGTGTGCACGAGGGTCCTGAGACTTGAACTCACTGCTTGGGCGTTGTCCCTGAACTTAATTTGCTCAAAGCTAGTTCTCTACTACTTGAGCCAAGCTCCACTTCCAGCATTTTTAAAGCAGTTCATTGGAGATAAGAGTCTCATGGACTTTCCTGCCCAGGCTGGCTTTGAACCACAATCCTTAAATCTCAGGCTCCCGAGTAGCTAGGATTGCAGACATGGGCCATCAGCAGCTGGCTTGTGTCTTTTAAGGATTAAAGGTTTCCTGCTACTGGGAAGTAGAAACTGGGAGGACTGAATTGTGAGGCCAAGCCTGGGGAGGGAGAGAGAAACAACCCCCTCCCCCCCCCCACACACACTCATTAAAGCCAGTACAAGTCATTCCAGATACCAAAAGATCATAGGAGGACCAGAGTTAGAGCCTTAGCCCAGGTTTAAAACTGAGAGAATCTATCTGAAAAAATACCTAATGGGCTGAGGACATGGCTTAAATGGTAGAGGGCCTGAATAGCAAGGGAGGGGCCTCCTTAAGACATATGTTAAGGAATTCTCTGCCAGCTGTACAAGGAATTAGAGTGGGTAGAGAAAAAACTATAGCATAGAGCTCCATCCCCAGGGTCTGAAAGTTAACAGCATTTCAATAGCCTTGAAAATCAAGACTATCCCAATTTTCCCCTCCCTCTCACTTGTATTCTTTCAAGAGAAACGTTTGTTCTTCTGCCCGTTGACCTCCATTCTATTTTATTTTACCACAGAAAACAAAATTTCAAATCAATAAAATGAACTTGAAAAGAATGCTTCTGGAGGACAAGCTCTCAATAAGTTTAACATCTACTGGGCTTGATTCTCCCTTCTCACAGAGCAGGAAGACCCTTTCCTAGCCTCCCTGCCATGTTACTCAGTACCACCAAGGTGAAAAATGTATCCCAGCTCCTCACCCAGAGACACCTAAGGCAGATGGAATGAGGTTGAAGCTATGGCTTCAGCTAGCCACAAACCTCTGGTGCTAGTCCTATTCCTTGAGGTGGGAGCTGTGAAGGCCGAGAGCCCTGGCTGCCCATAGATTTAATGGAAAAGTCTGCCCTCTATAGGAGAGGCATAGAATTGCAACCTATACACCCATTTAGGCACACACACACACACACACACACACACACACACACACACACACACACACACACACACACACACACACACACACACACACACACACACACACACACACACACACTCCACACACTCCACCCAAGCTGAGTTTTTCCAGCTATAGCATCCTTATATTTTCAACTATCTCCCCAAAAAACAGATCTAAATCAATGTATGCAAACCCTGGCCCAAGTCATGCGGGACTGAGTTCAGGGAAGAGTGGACCCAGCAGACACTTCCCATCCTAATCCATCCAAAATCCCAGCATTGAAGAGTGACCTCCGTGCCAGGCGGGGAATATACAGGTGATGAAAATGCAGGCCTTCTGCTCAAAGAGCTGGAGGGGCTGTGAGGAGCATCTCTCTTCTGTGTGAAGGAGTGAGGTCTTTCTTGATAGAGGGAGGCAAGCTCAGGTAAGAGGCCTTCATCCCTCATGTCTCTCACCTGAGGAAGGGTTCCTGCTTTAGAAGCTCAAATGTGACAAAAGCCAACATAATGGTCTTCAACCTGCTGGAAGCAAGACAAGGCAAACCCATGACTGGTTTCCTATGAAGTGTCAGGTATTTCTTGCTTTCAAACAAATCTACAGTAGATACTTGGTGGGGATGGGTGGGTGGGTGTTCATGCATACCTATTTTCCCTCATCAAAGATGGACTATTTTCCGTTTTTAAGGTAGGGAGGATCAAACGGGGGGGGGGGGGACAGGGGGGGCCTGTTCATCTTGGAACAGGCTGTGAATCAGATGCCCTCCTGTGGCTACAGTCCTTGATCACAGAAACAAAACCCCTGGGGTAAACCCCAGCGCTCTCAATTAAAAGTCTAACATGGGTGGGCTCGTGATTTTAGGAATGGAACTTCAGTAAGAGATTTTGCGTCACCTGTGCTTTATTTGGTGTCTGTTATTCGTTGTAGTCCTTGGCATAGAACCTTTTACTCAGGAGCTATCAAGTAAAAGGTAGCCCAGTCTGTTTTTCTTTTTTCACCAATGTTTTTGAAAAGCATGACATTCTGTTGCAGCTTATGATGGCGTCCTGCGGAAAAGGTTCAGCAATGCCGCAAATAGTGATGAAGCGGCAGGAGTTGGAGCCTCGGGTGGCCCGCAGACGCCAGTCACAGGCCCGCCACCGAGCCACCCTGGTGATGCTCTTCAACGACCTAAGGAAGATTGTCTACTCCAAGTCTGACCTCACATCCTCAAAGGTACAGGGACCTGTGTGAGGAGGAGACACGTTTACGCACAGAAGAGCTGCGGAGGCAGACAAGGACTGCCGTGGAGCTGGCAGCCCTGCTGCCCATGTCTGAGGTTGTGCTAGGGGATGGTCAGTGAGCGGGTGCCTTGTCTACCTGCAGCAGACCAGTCTGACATGGAAGGGCAATTCTGGAAGCCTAGCCCTGGTGGCTCACACCTGTAATCCTAAGCTACTCAGGAAGTTGAGATCTGAGGATTGCAGTTCAAAGCCAGCCCAGGCAGGAAAGTCCTATGAAACTCTTATTTCCAATAAAACCACCAGAAAACCAGAAGTGGGGCTATGGCTCAAAGTGATAGAGCATTAGTCTTGAGCAAAAGATGTTAGGGACACTGCCCAGGCCCTGAGTTCAAGCCCCACCACCGACAAAAAAGAAGGAGGGGGCAAGTCTGGGCTGGAGGAGCAGATTGTTTAGCCAGAAACTTTGTGACTATCACTCTCATAGGCAAACAAACCTGCATGCAATTGACACACCATATACATATACACACAAAACAGGCATACGCACAGACACACACCATAACACTACCACACATTTACACCTATTCACACACATACACACACACTCAATCCACAAGGGCATGCCTCGGTTTTCGTGAACCCACAGGTCTTTCTCCTAGGCAACAAGGCTCACTAGTTAAGTAGATACCTTTTCTTAATCACATCTTTCTCTTCATACAGTTTTATAATTGGTAATTAGCAATAATACATTAATCCGTTGGAAGACCATGGGGGGAAAAGTCTGGGAAGGTGGAGGTTGGGGCAGAAGGAATGCGGTTTGTAGTAACAGAGGGAGCATTATAGGAACCAGAGAGAAGAGAGATCCTTTGAAAACTGTAGTTTTCCACCCTTGCATAACAGAGGAGGGAACCAGAGTTGAAGGACTTACCAGTTCGCATGGCAGGCCAGGAGTAAGTCCTATTCCTGTTCCAACTTGGCCTTCTTGCCCATTTCCTCCTCCATGGCCTACCCTTCTGTCCTGTGTCTGCTCCCAGTTGGCCTGTTTCCTCCCTGGCCTTTGTGGATATTAGACAATGGCGTCTGCTGAGCCTCTTTGAGCAGGTCTCTATTGTTTTTAGCTGGAGGAATCTCAAAAGAGACCCCATCTGCTCTTGTAGGGGGAGGGCTGGGGAGGAAAGCCAGGCTCAGGGACTCAGGGCCCAGCAGTGAGGCAGCGCATCCAGGCTTCTCTGCTCAGAACAGTTGACTGATGAAGGAATTGTTTACTGTACATTTACGGGGTACATGAAGACCCCAAATCTCCATCAATGGTCAATGGAAAAGTGTGCACAGACCAGTAATACAATCAAAGTAAAACAGGCATTCAGGGCCTCACAGCAAGAAGGACAAGTAAAGTCAAAGAGAAGCCGTGTGCACCCCTAGAATTTGGCCTCGTGATTTAGCAGGTAAGAGCACACTGCTTGTCTAGCCAATGAACAGGAAGCATTACCTTTGACCCCCAGTTACCACATCTGTCACATAGGGAGGGTACTGATCACTGCTCATCGGCCTGTGAGGGGGTTTACCGCACCCTCTAAGTGTAACTGGAGTCTTGAAAAGTTAGTATCATTCCAATCTCATTTGTTCCCTACAACTCCATCATTTGTATCATTCTCAGTTTACAGATCATGGACTTGAGTCTCACTGGAAAGTTTTTGTTGTTGTTGTTGTTGTTATACCTTGAATGGGATAGCCAGGAAGTGCCCTGGAACCCAGCTATTTCTCTGTAGTCTTCCTTTGACTACCCTACTGGAGGGTTTCACATGGAGAAAGGAGTTCTTGTATAAGAGCTATGGGGTAATGCAGTTTCATCATCTCTCTAGATCTGCTATTTAAAAAATAAAGTGCCATAGAGCAGTGCTAAAACTGGCTTACACGAGCAATAATTGAATGACATATAGTTCTGAAGGCTGGCAGTCCAAGACCAGCTTATCCACAAGGCTACGCTTCCTCTGACAGCTCTAGGAGGGAATTATTTTTTCCTCTATTATAGTGCTTCTGACATTTCCCCAGTAATCCTTGGCTTGTAGGTGTATTGTTCCAGCCATATGACCATGTTCTCCTGTGTCTTCATGTCATCTTTCCGTATGTGTGTCTGTCTCTCTGTCCATAGGTCACCAAATTGGGGTCCACAAGTCATATTCACAGGTGCCAGGGGTTAGGACTTACATGTTATTTGGGGCGAGGACCATAATTCAACGCAGTACAAAGGTCTTAAGAAAGTTAGCCTGCCAAAAATATTCCAGAAACTGAATTTCAGAGATGATTTTCTCTCCTTTCCCCGATACAGTAAGCATGCCAGCCATGCCTCTGAAAGCAGGATGTAAAGCCAAAGCAGGCCACATGAACTGTACAGAGCACCAGAGCCACCGTCTGACATGGCTCCTATAACAGAATGCCTTGGCCTGGCAATTTATAAACAACAAAATCATTTTGCTCACAGCTTTGGTGGCTGTGATGGCTAGATTCAGGTTTTCAACAGATTCAAGGTGGGGTGAAGGTTAATTGTCCAGTGTACCGATGGGACCTTTCTTGGTTTTGTTGTTGTTGTTGTTTTTTTAAATTAGTATCTGTAATTTAAAAGGAGGTTCATTTTGACATGTCCACATTTGCTTACAATGGACTGTGAGCAGATTCACTCCCTCTAGTGCTCTCCTTCCTCCTTCCTCCCCTCTTTACCCAAAGCAATCTCAACACGTTTCCTTGTTCTATTTCTATACATGTGCATAAAGTACTTTGACCATAGTTACCCTCCTTTTCCCTCTCCCTTGCCTTCCCTCCTTACTAGTCTGTCCCCCACTTTACAATCCTGTCATTCTTTTTAAAAATAATCTGTTAAGGGGCTGGGAAGGTGGCTCAGTGGTAGAGAGCTTGCCTTGCATGCATGAGGCCCTGGGTTCGACTCCTCAGCACCACATAAGCAAAAAGAAAAAAGCCAGAAGTGGCACTGTGGCTCAAGTGGCAGAGCGCTAGCCTTGAGCTGAAAGAGCTGAGGGACAGCGCCCAGGCCCAGAGTTCAGGCCCCACAACTGGACCCCCCCCCCAAAAAAAATCTGTTAACTGTTCAAAGAATTCAAACATTCAATTCCATGCATGTATCTATTACATTAATCTGGTTACTCTCTTGATTGCTCTTTTTTCTTCCACTTCTCCCTATTATTCAAGTCTTCAGTGAGTTCTGCTATGCCATCTTGATATACAATGTATTCCAATATCCTTTCCCTCTAATACTTGTGTGTGTGTGTGTGTGTTTGTGTTTACTGGGACTTGTCCTCAGAGCTTCACAGTCTTGATTGGCTTTTGCTACTCAAGACTGACATGCTACAATTTAAACTACACCTTGACTTCCGGCCTTTTGCTGGTTTACTGGAGATAAAAGACGCATGGACTGTCCTGGGTAGCCCTGAGCCACAGCTAGAATGACAGGCATGAGTCACCAGCACCTGGCATCTCTAACGATTTTAACCGTCTCTTTTCTTTTCTCTTAGTCTCCTGAAACAGTTCTGCAATCACAAGCATGCCCTCTCTATATGCATATCTCTGATTCTGTATGTATTTATGGATATATTTTCAGATGGCACCTTCTGTTGTGTCCTCCCATGGTCAAAGAAATAAACAAGCTTCCTTGGGAGTCCATTCGAGAGGGTTCTGCCCATGTGACTTCAACATGCCTGTAAAGGCTGCCCTCACCTTGAGAGTTAGGCTTCAACGTATATACTTGGGAGGACACAAACATGTAAGCCTAACAGGCTGGAGCATCATCTTCTCACTCCCCAAAAACAAGCCCAAGATTCTGGCCACCAGTTGACTCCACATTCTGAGTCCCAGAACTACTTCAGCAGAACATGTAGAACCCAGGGGTGGGCCTTTGCTCTAGGAGTGCTCCATGAGTGTTCATAGAGCTCGAGATGACCATCCTACCACTGGCCCATCATTCCCGTCACCTTGTCTTTGTGTTGGCAGAACACTATGCTCCCAGCTCCTCTCAAGTCTCCTCTATATGTACCATCACCATCCCTAGGAATTTAGAATTGCAACACTTAAACTGCTGCCCCATGCCTTGGTGCCTTCTCCCACTCCCATTCCTCACCCTGATCACATCTGGCTAAAAGGTACCCTAAGTGAGCCCTGCTGGTCGCCCACCCCTTCTGCCCTGACTCATGTGGTTAGCTGTACCTTGGAGACTCTATGTCAAAGCTCTGCCTGGCTCACTCTGCTCCCTATCTTGCTTCATAGAGTGCTCTTGACCCTTCTAGTTGGAATACTCTCCACTACCCTTTGCTTCTACTTAGTCCTTACTGGGTTTTACCTGGTGTTGGTTGGCTGTTTCCATACCTGCCTTCTCTGTTAGAATGTTGGTAACCTGAAGTAGGGACTTAGCATAGACATTCTGAAGAATGTCTGAAACCCCTGATGATATGGGTGGTCAGCTTAACAGAGAACACACAGTGCTGCTTGTAGTTGCCATTTGGTTTAACTAATGTTACACATGGAAAAGAGGGAAGGGCCGGGCACTGGTAGCTCATGCCTGTAATCCTAGCTGCAATCTGAGGATCGCAGTTCAAAGCCAGCCCAGGCAGCAAAGTTTGTGAGACTCTTATCTCCAATTAACCACCAGAAAACCAGAAGTGGTGCTGTGGCTCAAGTAGTAGAGTGCTTGCCTTGAGCTGAAGAGCTGAGGGACAGTGCCCAGTCCCAGAGTTCAAGTCCCATGACTGACAAAAACAAAAACAAAAACAAAGGAGGGATGGAAGAAAGAAAGTAAAACGAAGGGAAATGAAGAGGACAGTGGGAAGGACACAGGGAGGGGAGCAAAAAGCGTTGATAGAGGATTTTTCAGATCATCTAGAATATATGCATTTAGCTAACAAATAGTGTGAGAATAGCGCATTAGATACTAACCAGCCGGTGATACACCACATTTGAACAGAAGGCTGGCTGGATGCAAGCCTAAGGTTGCGCCAAGGTAGATAATGGATGCATTCACCCATCGGTGCGCCCTTAGCGTCTTACCTCACCTGGGTCATCCGTCTTTGTACTCCACCAATAGTTTGCTGAAGGCAGCTGTATTTCAGTGGAGATCCATTTCTAAAGCACATGTGAGATTCCATGTCTTCTGTGCATGGAACAGACCCCCTGTCCTTTTCACTGACGAGGTCAAGGAGGAGACTTTGCATTTGAGGAAATATCACCTAGAGGGGGGAGGGGTTTCCTGGGATCCACAAAACTAGTGTTTTCATCAGTGGTCTGTCTCTATCCTCAGTGGCAGGTTCTGAATAAGGCGAAGGATTATATTCAAGGACTGGAACAAATGCTGGATAATTTGCTAAAGCTAAAAGGTAATAGCTGGCTCTCTAGAGAAAATTAAAAATAAATTTGGCCATGTACCAGTGGCTCATACCTGTAATCCTAGCTGACTCAGGAGGCTGAGAGCTAAGATCACAGTTCAAAGGCAGCGCGGGTAGCAAAGCCCTTGAGGCCTTTCTCTCCAACTAAAAAAGCCAAAAATGAGCTATAGTTCATGTGGTAGAGCACCAGCTTTGAGCAAAAAAGCTAGGGACAGTGTCAAGGCCCTGAGTTCAAGCAAGCAGGAAAGAAGGAAGGAAGGAAGGAAGGAAGAAAGAAAGAAAGAAAGAAAGAGAAGAAAGAAGGAAGGAAGGAAGGAAGGAAAGAAAGAAAGAAAGAGAGAGAGAGAGACTAAAACAAAGATTAGGTTACACAAATACTTATTGAAGGCCTACCATGTGCCAGACACTGTGTTTGGGCTTTAATTGAGATTGATACTCCTTCCTCTAGGGGTAGATTGTAGTCTGGCAGAACAGACAGGGGTCACCAGACTGTGTTAACTTGGTGAGTTCCTTAAATGGGCACTCCTGAAAGCACCTGATCTCACCCTGAGAGTCCAGAGAGGAAGTGGGCCAGTGCTTGTCCTGTGCTCTCTTCATACCAAGAAGGAAAGGTGGAAAATGGGATGTGAACTCCTTAAAACTGAATCTGGGAGGGTGACAGGAACAGCTTGACCAAAAACCTCACTCGCCTTCCACTCCCTGACAGAATCCCTCAACCTGAATGATGGGAATGCCAAGAGCTTAGAGGAAATCAAGGAAGTATATGCCAGAATGTACTCTGGAGACAATGGGTAAGACGCAGGAAGCATGGAAGCCTGCCATCTTACAGGGCAGCCTTCAGTGCTGTGTTGCTACAACCCAGAGCATACACAATGCTTAAAGCTGCTATTCACTCACCTGTAATAGTCTATTCCTGGTGATAGCTCTTTTCTCTGTTATCCTAATACTACTGACTTTTGATGGTGTATTTGCAATCTAGTTAAGTTCCTTTGTTAGTTCTGGTCATACCCTTGTAAATTCATAGGGATTTTCTACATAAATAATCACAGTGTCAGTATACAAAGGTACTTCATTTCTTCTTTTCCAAACTCTGTAGCTGTTTTCTTTTTCTTGTCTTATTGGACAGGCTCAAGATGCAAGTGTGTTTCAACATCTCAAGTAAAGGAAGTTCCTCTGTATTTCTAGTTTGGCTTAGAATCATTATGATTTTATCAATTATTTCTCCCAATTCTAATCTACTGAGATAATCTATCATCTATAGATTTCACTGGTTGATTTTCAAATGCTGAACTGGCCACCTTCCATTCTTAAGACAGAGGCCATTCAGCCTTAGCATATATAAATGGATTATATGTAATGTTGCTAGAATTGTGTTCATATTTTCTGTGTGCATGTTCAGTAGGGATATTCATCTATGATACTGTCTTTATTTATTTTTTTTTGCCAGCTGGATCTTAGATAATTTTCCTCAGAATGGCTCCTTCCTCTTATGTCCAACTGACACCGTGGGGAAAGAGGAAGCTGAGGAAGAAGATGAGGAAGAACAAGAAGAGGAGGAAGAAGAGGAAGAAGAGGAGAAAAAAATAGACATCACCTCTTCTCCAGTTGCTACATCCCCAGAGCTCCTGGAATTTGAGCGGTGTGAACTGCTGGGTGGGGTTGTTGCATACACATGTTGGGGAGGGGAGGGGGTGTCTGCTATGCATTGTACCTCCTGCTGTGCACTGTAGCTGCATACTGTAGCTGTGTTTATGATAGACTCCAAGTATGGCTCAAACCAAGTTTTAAATCATAGAAACTTTGAAGTTTCCATGTAGGAGAAGCTTGGGATAGGATGGGCCATAGGGCTAGACAAAATAATCTCAAAGCTACATTTGTATAGCGAAGACATTGGTTTAAATTTGGACCAAGTATTTAGTGGGGGACAGGGTAGGGAATGAAGTATTTAGTGACAACAGTGATTAGTTATAGGTAAACCCCTCCTGTCACCACACATGTGCCCACAAGTCTATTTTCAGACTCTTCTCTGGTACCTCAAAGAAAAAAAATGGGGACCAAATGTCTCAGATTGCCACTGACATGATCTTCTCCACACTCAAGACCCCATACTGGCTTCTGGAAGCCTTGGTATGATGGACGGGGGCGCGCTCCTCAGCTGAATCTTCCAGGCCCCAATAAAAACAGGAACAGGATACTGGCAAAACTTGGGGAGGGGACCCAAATACAAATCCATGTCCTTCATAGCCCCAAGATAGCTTCTGTACCCCCCAAAGTCAGGGCTAGAGTATGATCAGCCATGGCTGCGGCCATGAGTGGGATCCTGGGATCGACTCCAGGTCTGAGAGAGGTACCACTTCCCTTTCAGGTACCTCAACTTTTACAAGCAGACGATGGACCTTCTGACATGGCATAGCATCATCTCCTCGCAGGAGGTGATGCTCCCCGCTGTCTCGGCGGCCATCTCCCGCCTGTGGCAGATCCTCTCTGAGGAGTCGAAGGCCAGCCTCCTGCAGGCTTGGACACAGAAGCACAGCAGCCTCACTGGTGCCAGCCTGGAGTCCACCTATGCAGAGGACAGCACCAAGGACAGCGGAGTGGACAGCCAGGGAGCCAGCTGCTCACTGGTATCTACCCCTGAGGAGGTGAGCGGACCTGAAGGGGAGACTGTGGGAGGTGCTGGGTTGGCTGGCATCCTCCGCCCGGGGTGCCTCTGGATTTGGCTGGGGTCACTTATCAAGCCTGAGGAGCCATTTGGATGCGAGTTACACCAGGAGGTTTTCTTCTCTGCCTCATCTCTGTGACCCCCGAAGACTTTGCTCTTTCTCCAGGGCTTTCTATGGATCTTTGGAAGAGAAAGTTTAGGTTGTATCAGGAGGACCCTCTGGCTCCCAGTGACCTGACTAGTTAATGTCTTGACTCGTCCACGGCTCCCCTGGGACTCAGATTCCTCCCTTCTCGCTGCTCTGCCCGTCTTAGGACTGGTTTCTCACCCTTCTCTCCCACCCTGTAGCTGTGGAATGACAGCTAAGTCAACACAGCCATCATACTTCCTCCTTTACACCAGGGAGAGAAGGAAAGACTTCCCCTGAGGAAGAACTGCTCTTCCTATTTCTACCATACCCCTCCTCCTTCTCCTCTCATTGGCTAGATTAGCAGTCTACTCAGCCAGTGAGTGTCAGTTGAAGATGCCATGAGGACCAATCAAGAGTAGTTCCTGAGAGGCTGTCATTTCCCACCTGAGCAATCATTACCACCACTCAGAGAAGATGAAGCAACCCTGACACTCACTATCCATATACGTCTCAGCTTTTGAGCAGTTAGAACAGCCACCCTCTCCAAAGCAGAGCATCAGATGACATTAGTCGTAACCTTGTTCTGAGGTCAGAGTTCTTCCAGAACTAGGAGAGTCTTAGGAGAATGCTGCTACCTCACAGGCTGAGGCTGCCTGCTGCCTTCACCTTCTGTCCCAAAGGGCAGACAAATCTTTATTCTTTGAACCTGCCCTGTGCTTTCTAGGACACTTAGCATCTGTGGGCACCACAGCTTACCTTTCCAAATGGCCAAAGGGATGGTCTCCTGTGTCTTCTCTTTGGAGTCAAGGAGCCTCAATGGGCTTCTGACCATGGGGACATAGTTCTGGAATCTCCCTATCCTTCTAGAAGTTTTCACAGCCATTAGGCCCAATGCCAAGAGAGAGACTCAGTCCCATCTTCCATTTTACAGGCTTAGCAGAAGGAGTGACTTGCCTGGATGCCCCGTTCCTACTGCAGTTACTGATTGCTTTCCCCATGCTGTAGATGGTTGGCTCTTTTCTCTGCTTCTCTCCTGAATCACTTGTGGAGTTTAGTAACCAGACTGAATCAAAATTCCCGAGAGTGACGTCCTCAGGAACTCCTAGTGTACATATGCCATAGTCAGATGGCTACTTAGAACAACCCCAATCTCAGTCCACCAGCCTTAGGCCTCTGTTCTTCTTCTAATGCTAGACCCAGAGTTCTCCTCTATCGCAGCTCTAGCCAAGCCAGTTAACCAGCAACCCACAGAACTCGAACAGGAAGATTTGAATGACCAGCCAGGCTCAATGTCTTCAAAGCTCCCATGTGCCTAGATCAAACAGAAAGAAAATCTGTACTAAAAGCCTGAGCAGTTTCGTCAAATCAACTCTGTGTGTGTGTGTGTGTGCGTGTGTGTGTGTGTGTGTGTGTGTGTGCGTAATTACATGAATCTGTCAGCATACCATTTATATACCTACCACCCAGCAGTATCAAGCAGGCTTTGAACTGACCAACTAGTTCTGACATGTGAAGTTCTGTGCTTTCTTTCAGATCCTTTTTGAGGATGCTTTTGATGTGGCAAGTTTCCTAGACAAAAATGAAATTCCAAGTACATCTAGCTCCAGGTAAAGGAAAGCAGTGTGAGATAGCATGTGTAAGTGTGAGTGTGCAAATATTTGTGTGTGTGATGTGTGTGTGTGACTGCAAGTATGGATGTAGGTATGACAGTGCACATCCATGGTTGTGATATTGGATGTGTGTGTGTGTGTGTGTGTGTGTGTGTGTGTGTGACGGGACTGTGCGTGTATGTATGTGCAAGTGTGTGTGCATGCATGCAGTTCCTGCTGGAATGTTTTGCGGTCTTTTCTCTGAAGCCTCAGAAGGACGCAACACGGTGGAAATTTGCGGGAGAGGGGGGGGTGTGCCCCAAACATTGTGCTATAGTGCTGGGATGACATGTCTGCAACATCCTCAGAGAGAAAGCGTTCTCAGAGTTAGGAAATACCAGGTTGTCAGTTCAAAGTGGTGAGAACATTTTGCCCTGTTTTCCCAGGGTGTCTTGATCCTGCTTATTCCTGCTCAGGGCAGCTACAGCCCTGCAACAATTCCATTGTTAGATGAAATGACGTGGATTGGGTAGCCTATAAAGAGGAGCTATTTATTTATTTATTTGCTAGACAAACAAAGGAGGGAATGGCTGACTCGGGAGAAAAGATGCAAACTACCATCTGGGAAGATTGAAAACAAGCAGCAGCTTGGCTCAAGCCATTCCCAAGGGGCTTTTCTAGACAGTCTAGGACAGAAATCCTCTGGGTGTGACATGAAGAGCTGTAGTCTTGTGACCCATGGGCACAGCCCCTTTTGGCACTGTACTGGTGTCAATGCTGCAAAGAAGTCAGGGAGTTTTTCTGCCTTGGGAGTATACATGACATTCACATCCCTGGGGTCTAAATGAATCATCATTGTCTTGTCCATAGGAGGCTGGGCATCCAGGAGCCAGAAGGCCAGGCAGCTGTAATTAGGCCTGGTGACCTAGGCAGTATGGTTCCTCCACTCCTTGAGGTGCAGGGTTGTCAGAAGGCTCTGTTTTCCGTGGACAGCTTATGTAATGGTGCATGCTTTTTCAGCTGTGTGGAAGGGGTTTTGTTGTTATTATTTGATAGGGTTTTTTTTTGGCAGTTAACTAGCCAGAAGTAGACATTCCTATTTCTGCACTGGACTTAGGCTCTGCTTCTCAGTTGCTAAATTATACTTGCCAAGAATTATTTGGAACTTCTTACCCTGCTGATGGAACAACAACAACAACAATTTTTTTCAATCCTACTAAAAATTCTTTTCCTGCCTTCCCTAGAAAAGGCACAGCTTGCTACCAGTGGGCTCCTAGACTACCCGTGGAACCTCTTCCCAGGAAGCAGTGAGGGCAATATGCCTGCTGACCTATTCCACTCACAGCCTCTATGCTTTAAGGCTCTGGATGCCCAGGGCTTCTCCTCTCGTCCCTAAAAGACCGTGGGGAATGGTGCCTTGCAGAAGGGTCTTGACACATGTGCACTGTTCAGGGACCTGTCATGGGACTGAATTCCAATATAACGTGCATCTTGAGCTGCTTCTGCAGGAAGAGGCAGACTCAGAACTATGGGCACTGCCGTAGGAGGCTGACTGGGAGCTAGAGATCTTGCTCCTTTGTCCCAGAGGCCATTTCAGGCACAAAAGCCAGTGTCACCACCACTGTCTTGCTTTTCTGTGTAGGTCCAGATATGTCATTTAAGTACAGGCAAGACAGATCTTTCTAGAAGAGCTCCAGATTGTTCCAGAATTTAACTGTTTAGAAGTATTCAATTCACAGTGTCATTCAAGATTTTATTTTGTAAAGAGTGATGGCGGCAACCAGAGGTGAAAAGTGAGGATTGTAAATATTTTCGGTTGCTTCTTTCTGTTCAGCTCCATGTATACTCACTTCAATCCCGAGAATACCCAGGAGAAGTTTCAGCTGTACATGCAGATCATTGAGTTTTTCAAAGACCTCAGTAGCAGTGATGTTCAGGTAAAAGAGGTAGGTTACAGCAAGATGCCGTGGAACCTCAGCCCCACTCCTTTATGTTGGCAGAAAAGGTGTTGCGGGGGGGGGGGGGCTTACCAGTTCTCACCCTGATCACCCCAGGAGTGGCACTGAACATACACATCCTTTGTTGCTATCTGGCATGGAGTAGCCTGAATTGCTGCTGTACATCTTCCTTTCTGGCCTGCATCATGGATGACCAGTTTCAGTCTTAATGCTTCCTAGGATGCCCAGGGCATCCTAGAGACAAAGGGGTGGCCTCCAAGGGAGAGCTATATATAGACTTTCTGAAGCAGGGACCAGATCCTAGGGCCCAACTTGTAGCAAGCACTCACAACTGTTATGTGACATCTTTTCAAAAGGTTGAGCTATGTCATCCTCTTCCAAAAAACCACAATACTATCTGGAGTCATCTTCTGAAAGATAGTTTCCGCAACTCCCAAAGCCACTCTTAGAGCAGATGGTGGTAAAAGTCACAGGGGTCTGGCGAGGAGGTCATTCCTGAACTCCTCATCATGGGGGGAGTAGTTGTGTTAGTCGCTAGGAGACAGGACCGCTCAGATTCACAACCATGGATTTATTTCCTTCACCCAAATTTCCTTCCACCCTGTGTTTTGCAGGAGCCAGTTGATGAGGAGATGATTATGTTGAAGTGCATGGAGACCTTTGATGATGAAGATCTGTAATGCAGATGAGCCTGCAGGGACATGAGTTAAAAGTGGGGTGGGGTGGGGCAGTTTCCATGTTTGAATGCTAGCAGCTATAGTTACACTTGCTTTGGCCTTCCAAGGCACTCTGGAATCATTCCAAAAATGTTTTAAAGTTTGTTTGTTTTTTCATTTCTGATATAAAGTAAAGAGAAGTGCGGCTCTGTGATGGTGTTTGGTGGTTGTTTGGCACAAAGAGCTGGCCTATAGCAAGGCACATATCCACTCTGCCCCCATCCAGGAGCCATACCAAGTGCAGCTTAGGCCCAAGCCATGAGTCTTCCAAGAAGAGGCTAAGTAAACCAGACATGGTGGTGCATCTGCCTGTATTCCCAGAGACTCAGGAAGCAGAGGTAGGAAAATCTTGGACAAGGCCAACCCAAAAATTAGGAGTATAAGACCAAAACCAAATGGGGGAGAATGACAGAAGGGATGGCAGTTGTTAAGAAGTATTGTTCTCATAACCTGACCTATGGAATTGTAGCCTTTTTGGTTCAACTACTTAATGATAAAATAAATTTTAAAAAATGTTTTAAAAGGACAAGTGTATGTAGAATGGGGGCTAAAAAGGGGACCAAGAAGTCAGGCACCAGTAGCTCATACCTGTAATCCTACCTACTCAGGAGGCTGAGATGCCATTCAAAGCTATCCCTGGCAGGAAAGTCCCCCCAGAAAACTGGAAGTGGCACTGTGGCTCAACATGGTAGAGTGCTATCCTTGAATGGAAAAAGCCCAGGGACAGCACCCAGGCCCTGAGTTCAATCCCCATGACTGATAAATGAAAGAAGAAGAAGAAGACCAAGAAAACCAAGGCAGTGAAAAATCTCCATATGTATTTAACTATTATTACTATTAAGATAAACATCTTTCTGTATTTCACTTCAATTCTGTTAAGATATTCCTACTTATGGATGAAAATGTTTAATTAACATTCTTGCAACTCTTTTTTTTTTTGGCCAGTCCTGGGGCTTGAACTCAGGGCCTGAGCTTCTTTTGTTCAAGGCTCACACTCTACCACTTGAGCCACAGCGCCACTTCTGGCTTTTTCTCTTTATGTGGTACTGAGGAATCAAACCCAGCGCTTTGTGCATGCTAGGCAAGCACTCTACCAGTAAGCCACATTCCCAGCCTTCTTACAGCTCTTTTGAGTCTCATGACAGCAGATCCAATGGCTGTGGACTTTGATCATCACATAATGCATTCAATTCATTGAAGGCCTTCATAGCAAAAGACTGAGCTTCTCAGCAGAAGAAGAATTTCTACCAATAGATGTCTGGACTCAGCCTCCTGATCCAGCAGCTCACACTGCACATTTTAGTCTTGTTCCCACGACAGCCTGAGGCCTTACCTTAAATCTGCTTGTGTGCATGCATGCGTGCGTGTGTGTCTCTGCGTGTGTGTGTGTGTGTGTGTGTGTGTGTGTGTGTGTGTGTGTATACATCTCATTGCTTCTGTTTCTCTGGTGAGACCCGATGAATGGGCTGGTGTATACAGAGAAAGACTCACCAGGCTCTTTCCAGTTCTAAGTCACCAAGTGAAGGCCTCTGAAGTGCTGTGCTCTGACCATGTGGGAGGCTGGCACTTAGGTTAAGTGTCGGGATTCCACTTCAGTCCTGTCTCCAACACCTCAACTCTCAAACTTTCAAAGACTCTGAAGACTGGGGATGTGCAAGAATGGAGCCATGCCTTGCACTCCTGGTACAGCTAACAAAATGATCACACCCAACATGGGGGCCTCCTAGGCAGCTGGGCAGGCTGGGCCTTGGGACTCAGGAGATGCTTGAACAGTATTAGAAAGGAAGGAAACAGGTGGCATTTAGGTGGACACCCCTGTCACTCAGCAAGTCAGGAACAGGTCAGGGCTTAGGAACGCTCAAGTGAAGAAAAATGTGTGTTTACAAAAGGTCTGAACACAGTAAACCCTAAGCAACAAGCCTGTGGCCAGACCCCACCCCGACCCCCAGCCCTCCTAGCTGTTCCTGACCCCACCTTTGTCTTGTTGAGTCTGGGGCTGTGATTTCATTCTGAAACATGTGCCAAAGGCCTCTGGGAAGAGAGGACCTTAGCAGATTGCTGGGGTATCCCTTCTCTCTACAGCCATGTACTGGAGTGATGACCCCACTATTATGCCTCAGCCCATCACCTCTGCTACCTCCTCCTGTGCTAACTGGCAGGATGAGACTGACTGATGTAGAAAGAGTCTTGGGAGGAGGAATGGAAAACAACTAGCATGTGAAGACAGCTTTATGCAGCAGACCCACCCAGGCTTGGGCCATCTCCCAGTAGGGTTCTGCAGGGGGAGGAGGCTTATCACTGATTGCATAAAAGTAATTGTCAGCACAAGACAATACGTTGGAAATCATCTGTACAACTTGGATGGAGGAAGATTGGGGGGAGGGGAAGTAGGAGAAAAATGAGGGAAGGGGTATCAAGTTTGACAGAAAAGTACTTATCACCTGATGGCAACCCCTCTGTACATCAGCTTGACAATAAAAACAATAATAATAATGTCAGATTTTATCGTAAACGAACTGCAGACTGTCTTCTAAGAGCCAAGCATAAAATCAACCAAAAAATACTTGCATTGGCGATGGAAAGTAAAACGTTATCAGCAAAATCATTTCCTTAGAATACATGACCTTTCACTCACTGATATTTCCCACCTGGAAAAAACCTTCACATAGATCCTGAAGTCAAGTGGGGGTTCCCGTTCCCCACGCAGGGGCTCCCACCCCAGGTGCACTAGGACAGTGTGCTCTTGGGGGACTTGAATGACGATGACAATGGCTCTGGAAGGAAAGACAGAGCATGAGATGGGGCAATGCCCCCAACACTGGCACAGCGCGCTGGCCTCCACCTGTGATCCGTTTGTGCCAGTCCTGGGGCTTGAACTCAGAGACTCATATTCTCCTGGGCTTCTTCTGCTCTGGGTTAATGCTCTACCACTTGAGCCACCCAACTCTGCTTCTGGCTTTTTAGTAGTTTATTGAAGATATGCATCTCATGGACTTTCCTGCCCTGGGTGGTGGTCTTGGCCTCCTTCATCTGGAAACGCCTGCTCTACCCGGAAGGGGTGTGACATCCACAAATGCTTCCTGGCATCTTCAGGACTGTTTTTCTTGGGGCGAAGCTGGCCCAGGTGTGGAAAGAAGAGGAGTGTGCTGGGATCACATGGTTTTTTGTTTGTTTGTTTGTTTGTTGTCAGTCATGGGGCCTGAACTCTGGGCCTGGGTGCTTTCCCTCAGCTCTTCAGCTCAAGGCTAACACTCTACCACTTGAGCCACAGCGCCACTTCTGGCTTTTCTGCTTTATGTGGTGCTGAGGAACTGAACCCAGGGCCTCAAGGATGCAAGGCAAGCACTTTACCACTGAGCCACCTCCCCAGCCCAGATCACATGTTTTTATTTCCTGTGCCTCAATGCTTGTGGCTCAGGGAAGAGATGGAAAGGCCACAGGGCCTCTGTCTCTTGCAGAGAACTGTTGGCGCCATCTTTCAGCTAACCGCCCAACCCCATCCCTGCCTTACCCCAGTCCCTGCCAAGCACAGTGGAAAAGCCACTGTGTGGACACCAGCCATGCCTGGGGACAGCAGGGTGTCCTGAGGGCCAAGGTGGTGACCAGAGCACCCAGCCCAGGATCTTCATCTTTGGTGTCTTGGCCACCAGGATGCCCAGGCACCCTTGGGGGGGAGGCAGGGGACACCTCCCCCTGGAAAGCAGGACTTTGCATTCTGGGTGGGCCGATGGGTAAGTGATTAGGTCTGGCCAGGCCAGGCCAGCCAGGGGTCAGCTCTCATAAAGGACATTCTCTGACCCTCTGCAGGTGTCTTCCGGAGGTGGAGATGTTGGAGTACACGGTGGACTGGCTCATGCACATCTCATCTTGCTCACAGCGGTCCAGCTTGGGGCAGAAGGGAAGGACCTGGGTGCAGCGGGATGTGCAGAACGCAGTGCCGAGCCCCCAGGGAAGGCCGTAGACCGCCGAGGCCCTCACCGTCTCCTCAGACTCCTCCTGGATCTGGTTCCATGCCAGGAGACCTCGTTCCTCCGGAGATCCTGAGGTGAGACCACTAGGAGTCAAGACTGGTAGTGCTCAGTTCCACCTGATGGGGGCTGCAGGAACTACCAGCGCCTCCTCCAGGCACAAGTAAAACCTCCCCTCCATGCCTGGCACAGGGTGCCCCCTCCCCGGCCCCTTCTTCCTCCTCCCCCTCCCAGCCCTCCCCATCCTCCACTCCCCAAACGCCATCTCTAGGGACACAGCTCCTCGCATCTGGCATTCTTATAGTGTCCAACCTTGGGGCATAAAGAAGGAATCTAGCGCTGTCCTCAGCTGGAGGGAAGGGGGCCTGTGGAGTTTAGATAGAAGTCACGTCTGCTGAGGAGCAGCCGTGGGGAAAGCAGATGTGAGTGGGAAAGGCCTCAGGAAGGCTGGGGAAGGAGGCTGAAGAGGGGAGGATGCAGAAGAGAGAAGAGCTGGGCTCCAGAAGCCACTCATGGAGCCTGGCACACATGCCAGCATTCTATTTGGCTGGTTTCTGCTTCTTTACCCTATTGGCCTGTGCATTTCTTGAAGGCAAAGATGAGTCTTACTTTCCTATGCACATAGCAGATGCTCTGGATTCTAACCAATGTGAATGAATGAATGAATATGTTTGTTTTCTGTTGCCAACTAGTTTGTAGGCCCTAAGGGAGCCTAGTGTGGCTTTTGTGTTTTGTTTTCTTTTGCTTCTGGTGTATCTCCCAATTTTGGACCCTGCTATGGACTGAACTGTATCTTCTCAAAATTCTTATTGGAGGAGCTAAAGATATGTCTGTAGTCGGGTGCTTCTAATTCTAGCTACTTAGGAGACTGAGATCTGAGGATCACGGTTCAAAGCCAGCCGGGGCAGGAAAGTCCGTGAGACTCTGATCTCCAAATGACTAACAGAAAACCAGAAGTGGCACTGTGGCTCAAGTGGTAGAGCACTAGCCTTGAGCTGAAGAGCTGAGGAATGGCGCCCAGGCCTAGAGTTCAAGCCCCACAACCAACAACAACAAAAAAGGTATGTCTGTACTTGTCTTTAGAGCAAAGATAGAAACAACCTTTAAAGAGATTAGCCCAAAGGCCTTTAGGGTGGGCCTTGACTCAGTCTTCCTGGTGTCTTCGTAAGAGAGAAATTTTCGAATATGTGGGGAGACACACAGAATGCAGGTGCACAGAGGAAAAGCCAGATGAGAATGCAGGAAGAAAGCAGCCATCTCAAGCTAAGGAGAGAGACACCAGGAGGAACCAAACCTGTCAACTCCTTGATCTCAGATTTCCAGCCTCCACAAGGGTACAGGAGAGAATACATTTCTGGCCTTTAAGTCATCCAGTATGAGATGTTTTGTTATAGCAGCCTTCGATGACGAATACAGACCTTACCTTATCCCCTCAGGAAGGGGACCCAGGACTTCAGGCTCTCCCTGTAGCCCAAACCCTGATCATCTACCCACTCCACCAGCTCACAGGCACTCCCTACCTGGAATGGTGTTGTCCAGGAGAAAGCCCAGAAAGCCTCCAACAAACATGCCTGTAGTCAGGAGCACTTGGATAACCTGGTCCAGTTGAAGAATCCCTACAGAGAGAGAGAGAGAGGAGTGGACAGGTTGGGGATCACAGACCCCCTCCATTCCCACCCAGGGGAGGATGACTGTCTGGCAGCAGAGAGCACTCACCTGTTTGCAGCTTCTCAGCATTTTTGTTCACCCAGTTTGGAATGGCGAGCCCGCAGTATATGGAGAAGCCAAAGACGAAGAGGTTCCTAGATGAGTTCATGTCCACGTACTGCGGGAGAAAAACCCCAGAGGCTGGCATGGGCCATCAGCGGCTTACCATCCATGGGTACCACAGCCGTTTCCCCCATGTTTGGATGCCTTGTTTCTTCCTTGCATTTGGGGGCCCCTGCTGCTCTCATCCCTCACCCCACTCCATTCTGTGTACCCCCACCCCCATGGGGTCCTTTCGGGGTTGGGGGTGCTTTTCTAGGGATGCCTTGCCATTCTCACCTGCAGGTTGGAGATGCCCACAGCACTGATGACCCCGAACATGACGAGAAACATGCCTCCGATCACCGGGGGTGGGATGGTGGCAAACGCTGCCCCGATCTTCCCAAATACACCCATGAGGAGCAGCACACAGCCCGCAGCGACAATCACCATTCTGCTCCCCACCTGCAGCACCCAGGACAGGAGCACCGGGGGTCAGACATCCCCCAGGACCTGCTGCTCTGGTCACTGGGTGTGGCCTCTGAGTAGCAAGAATTTACTGCTTATTCCATTTTTCTGTGGACCTAAGATTTCTCTAAAAAATTTAAGTCTTAAAGATAAAAGAGGGCTGGGAAGGTGGCTCAGTGGTAGAATGCTTGCCTTGCATGCATGAGCCCCTGGGTTCAATTCTTCAGCACCACATAAGAAAAAAGAAAAAAGCTGGAAGTGGCGCTGTGGCTCAAGTGGTAGAGCGCTAGCCTTGGGCTGAAGAGCTGAGGGACAGTGCCCCGGCCCAGAGTTCAGGCCCCACGACTGGGCCCTCCCCCCAAAAAAAGATAAGAGTTCTGATTTTGAGGCATTCTGTATCATTCTCAAAAGTTAGGGCTGTCCTATAAATGTTCTTAATCTCATCACGACACTTCTGTGGGTGAATGTAGATAGCTCTTGAATCTGTTATGCATCCCTGTATGTCCACATGTATTGCCTGAAAAGATGCAATGATGTAGTTCTAGTTTTTCAAGATATAAAGCTTGAGGATGCCTGGCACCAGTGGCTTATGCCTGTAATCCTACCTGATCTGAGGATCACAGTTCAGAGCCAGCTCAGGCAGGAAAGTCTGTGAGGCTCTTATCTCCAACCACCAAAAAACTAGAAATGAAGCTGTGGCTCAAGTGGTAGAGCTCTAGCCTTCAGAAAAAAGCTCAGGGTCAGTGCCCAGACCCTAAGTTTAAGCCCCAGGACCAACACACACACACACACACACACACACACACACACACACACACACACACACATGCAACATGGTCATGATGCTGTATTTAATGTTTTGGGGTTTTTATTACCATAATGAAAATCTTTTAGAGATACTCCAATGTCTATTGAAGTCTTTTTATGCATCAATGAAGTAGCAGATTATGCATTTGCTTGTTTTGTCTCTTTCCAATCTCCTATCTTGTTTATCTGCTTTTATTAGACATTCTCACTGCATCAGAATGAATGCTGCTTTGCTTCTAATCTTGACAATTAATTATGGGAACAGAGACATGACTTCAAGAGATCAGATTGGTTTGCCAGGCTCAACCAAAGCCCTTTGGATTTGCTGATGGTCTGACAAGTATGGCAGTCATCCCCTAATCCTATTTCCACACATGCTCTTCATACAACCCTAGAGCTTTCTTTTTTTGGGGAGGGGGAGAAGGGGACGTTCCTCAGGATTGACATCTGGTACCCACCCACACTTGGGGAGAACCATGAAGACGATGTCATTGCCAAAGCTGAAATGCAAAGCAATACTGAAATAGGCCACAAGGGGGACTGTAAGGCCAGAAAAAGCAAGTGTTTTTCGTCTCTGGTGGTTCCTTCCACGTTAATCTAACCTCCTCATTTGAATTGTAGTTTATTCTCTGTGTGCCATTATTGCCCACTCTTTCCCTCTCCTCTAAAGGGCCCACAAAAAAAATTTTGTTTTCTATTCTGCATGAGATTTGTTCCCTTTAGTGGAAAAAGCAGTCTTTGCTGCCTCATGCTTAGATAGCTATTCTTCTGTGTGGGTCAGAGGCCCTCCAGGGGGAAAATGCTCACTTCACCTGCACTAAAAGACTCTTAAACTTTGCATCTCCAGTGCTATGGTCCACAGCACTTGCTGTAGGCTTGGGTGCTGGATCATGGATGTTAGCTTGGGCTGTGGTAGAGGTCACGGGCAGGGAGGTAGACAGATCAATTCTGCAAAGGTGCACTACCCCCAGGCTGCCCCTCAGAATCCTGGAGGGGAGGGAGCCTTAGGCAACACAGGTGCAGGGGAGGGGAATCTGTATTTTTCCAAAGCTCACAGGACTTGTGCTGTGAACCACAAGAAAGATTGAGAAAGCAGCATAATAACACTACTTTTCCTAAGTCATTTTGGAAAGCACCAGTCTAAAGAATTGTGGCTGACTTTATGGAATTTCACTGTAGAAAATGAGAGTTCATAAAGAGATTGTAAACAGAGTACAATCTAATCATAAGTGGGTTCTAGAAAGGTCCTCAGGAGTCATGTGGCATACAGATTAGAGATGGCTGAGATCCTGGGAAGAGAGAATGTGAGCCACTAATGCAGTTGCTGGCCCTGGGAAAGTTGAGATGAGGACAAAATGGAAGCCTGGGGTGAACCTTGGGACAGCAGGACGGTGTGGGGGAAGGGCTGCTTTCAGTAAGAGCAGGACTGCAGAAGTCAGGGTGGACATGTGTGAGCTTCAGAGACCACTGAGCATGCGCAGGTCCGAGGGACCTCAGGTAGGATTATCCAGGGCACAGTGAAATATTCAAGGTTGGGCAGAAAGTAACAGACTTTTTTTGTACATGCCAGTACTAGGGCTTGAACTCAGGATCTCATACTCTCTTTTATGCTGGTGCTCTTACCACTGGAGCCACAGCTCCACTTCCAGCTTTTTGGTGGTTAACTGGAGATAAGAGCCTCATAGACTTTTCTACCCCAGCTATCTTTGAACCATGCTCCTTAGATCTCAGGATCCTGAATAGCTAGGATTACAGGTGTGAGCCACCAGGGCCCAGCTAATAAAGAACTTCTTTAGTGTTCAGAAAGCCACCAGGGCCTGTCAATGAAAGGTAAAGTGTCTGCCATTTGGAATTGCCACAATCAGAGGTCAAGCGCAGAAACCACAGCCTCTGCAAAGCACCTCCAGATTTGCAAGGGCATTGCCATGCGTGGCAGAAGAGACTCCACAGATAATTGAGTTAAAAGGCCCGACTGTGGCCCACACACTCTCAGAGTCTCCAGAGAGGAACCCAGCTCTGTCAACACCTCCATTTTAGCCTCATGAAACCCAGACCGAATTTCAGATCAATGTGGGTTGTTGGAAGCCATCACTCTCTGATGACTGGCTCTAGCAAAAACAGAGAAGTAACTTCTAGAGTGGCAGATTCAGGATCCTAGCCCATCCCCAGACGCCACCTGCAGCAGCAGCCTTACCCTGGTGATGCCCAGCGCCCCGACGTTCTCGCTGTAGGACGTGGTGCCATTCCCTGTCCCCCAGGCTCCTGCCAGCAGGCAGCCGAGACCCTCGATGCCAATGCCACGGTTAATGGCATGCTTCGGAGGGGGCGGGGCTCCTACCAGCCGGGCACAGGCATAATAATCACCCACAGACTCCACCATGGAGGATATCACCCCAGCAATGATCCCGAAGACCCCCGCCAGGCTGATGGTGGGGAGACCCCACTGCCCTGAAGTGAAGCACAGGGGGAAAGGATAGTCAGAAGAAGATCCTAAGACCAAAGGCATTTCTTTCCAGGGGTCTCTGCGAGGTTTAAGGATGTGGACAGTTGCTCACAACGGCCTAAAGGCCTTGTCCTGCTAAGGTGCTCTGGCCAGAACTTGTGTGCAGAAAACTGAAAATGGGACCTCTCCCTAGGGGAAGCTGAGGCCCTTCTGGAAGGCCTGGGGCAGTCTCTGAGGCCTAGTCAGCCCTCCTCCAGCCCTGTTGGTGTTTATACCATGAGCCATAGGATAAAGAGACCAGAAGTGAACTAAGGGGAGCCTTGTCTCCACAGAAATATTTCATTCATCCTCAGGCCTTCTTTCGGTTAGACACACTGATTCCATGAGGAGATCGAAGGTCTGTCTGGACATCAGAGTCAGTCTCTCTCTCTCTCCTCTCTCCCTCACTTCCTCTCCTCCCTCCCTCCACCTGTCCCTCCTCCCTGCCTCCTTCTCCCCCACAAGTTTCTGGGTCCCAGACAAGACAAAGGAACACTAGGAATGCAGCCCAGCTCTGAGGAAGGGCTGAGAACGCCTCTTCAGAGTCAGACATTGTCTCCCTGGGCCTGCCCTTCCTTGCCAATCCATCTTCAGCTCTCTTCAACTCTCCAGCCAGTGGAGAGTTGAAGAAATGTATCCCAAATGAGAAAAAGCATCCATCTTCCCCTTACCTGGGTAAGGGAAGCGGAACCACGGGGCCTGGCTCAGGACGCTGCCCTTGGTGTCGGTGCGCGCCTGATACCCGTAGGCCGTGGGGACGGAGGGGAAGGTGTTGGTGACAGTGAGTGTGAAGCAGATGAGCCAGGAGATGCAGAGAGCTAGCAGCACCTGCCGGAGGGGAAGGGGGTCACTCTTCATGCTCCCTACCCCCAACAGCTCCTTTGAGATGAGGCCCTTGCTGGGTTCTGGCCCCTGCTGGTGAAAGCAGGGACCCGCTGTGCATGGCCTACATTATCATGCTCAAGGCACTGGCTGGAAACAGAAACAGAAGATAAACTATGGGCAGAGTTCCAAGCCACTGGGAAAGAGATGCCCAGCTCATCCTGTACAACAAGCCTGGGACAGCAAGGTTACCACGTAGCTCTCTTCTCTGTTTGCTGACCGGGCGACCTGGAGCAACCACTCGGAGCATCCATTTCCCCATCACTACCCTAGCATTGTAAGCATCGCTCTGCAGAACCTAAAACAGTTTCTTGCAGTGAGGTCCTCACATGCATAGATTCTAAGTCTTTGGGGGTGGGACCCCAGAATTCTTCTCAATAGTTTTTATGCACTCTGAATTTTGTTGGTGGTGGTGGTGTTCATGGGGCTTGAACTCTGGGCCTGGGCGCTGTCCCTGAGCCCTTCAGCCCAAGGCGAGCGCTCTACCACTTGAGCCACAGCGACCTTTCCGGTTTTCTGGTGATTAATTGGAGATAAGAGTCTCACGGTCTTTGCTGCCTGGGCTGGCTTTGAACTGCGATCCTCAGATCTCAGCTTCCTGAGTAGCGAGGATTACAGGGCTCACTGGTGCCTGGTGCACTCTGAATGTTAGTCACTGGCCTGTGGAGTTGCTGAGGGCTCAATAAGATCATTATGATAGAGGGGCTCTTTTGTTTGTTTTGTGTTTTACGATGAGAAATAGAGGACTGTTAAACCTGAAGACTTACCTATGTGATAGATAGCGACACCCATGGAACAGAGTAGAGTTCAACAGAGGCCTCTCCAAAAAGAGGGGCACTTGGGGACTGCCCAAAAGCCGCTGAGGAAGACTGTGATCTAAGTAGCTGAGCCATCAGCTTGTCCTTAGAGGGGAACCCTCCTCACTCTTGCAGCCCCCTGTTCTGAGGGCAGACAGCAGGGGAAAGGAGAAGCGTGTCCCACACTGGTCCTCAGGGGTCATACCTGAGGGGTCATACCCACACAGCTCAGGCCCCCTCCGGTCTCTGGGAAGAGGCCATTGTAGATTGGGGAGCTTTGGATATGGGAAGATGCCCTGTACTCCCTAAGCGAGTCAACAACTAGGAATTGGAAGATGGGGGGGTGCTTCTTACAGGGAACACCTGAAACAGGTAGAACTTAGAAGTGTGACACCTCTTCTCTCCTCCATAGACAGGCACAGGTATGGCAACGTTTTTCAGGTACTGAGAAAACAGCACAATGAGGAAGATGGTTCTGGAACAGAAACAAGCAAACATACCGGTCATGATGGGCTGGGCACGTTGGGGAGGGGGCTCATCAGGCCATGGGGAGGGGCCAGGGAGCCGAGCTATTACACATCCCTGGGACCTGTGGCACAGGGAGAGGGCCCTGCCATCTCTGAGAAGAGACTGTGCCAGCTCTGTAGGGAGCTGTTGGTGACTGAGGACAATTAAGGGGGGTGGGGTGTAACTCTTCTGAGTGGTTGGGCAGTCAGATAGAGCAGCAGGTAGAGCCAATGAGACCTAAGTCATAGACTATCTTATTATTTCTTTTCAGAATGTCTGATAGTCCTCATACCTCTCCAGCCACAAAGGATAGAGTGGGTAAGAATGCCTCCCTAAGTCCCTTAAAGTTTGAGGCTTCATTTTCCAAGGTGCTTCCCCAGCCCTATAAGCTGGGCTGCCATCATTTTCCTCCTCCACACACACACACACAGCACCCCATCGCTGTCTCCCGGGATCACAGGCTCTTAGACCCCAGTTCCATCTCACAACTATAATGTGTTTGAAAGTTAGGGCTATTCTTCCTCAATGAAATCATAGTTGGGGGCTGGGAAGGCGGCTCAGTGGTAGAGCGCTTGCCTTGCATGCCTGAGGCCCTGGGTTCGATTCCTCAGCACCACATAAGCAAAAAGAAAAAAGCCGGAAGTGGCACTGTGGCTCAGGTGGTAGAACACTAGCCTTGAGCTGAAGAACTGAGGGATAGTGCCCAGGCCCAGAGTTCAGGCCCCACGACCGGACCCAAAAAAACAAAAAAACAACAACAAAAAAGAAATCATAGTTGGGAGCTGGCACCAGTGGCTCATACCTGTAATCCTAGCTACTCAGTTGGCTGAGATTTGGGGGTAGAGGTTCAAAGCCATTAGGCAAAATAAAAAGTCTCTGAGACTCTTATCTCCAGTTAACCAGCAAAAGCTAGAAGTGGAGGTGTGAATCAAGTAAAAATAAGGGATAGTGCTCAGACCTTGAGTTCAAGGCAAGTACCAATACACACACACACACACACACACACACACACACACACACACACATTTTTGTAAACCCTACGTATATTTATACACTGCTTGTGATTAATTCATTACATGTGAGTATTAGTAAGATTAAAAATTAACAGTAATTATGAATTATAAGAAGCAACATTGATTTTTTTAAGTATATTGATCACAACAGAGTATTTGTCTATCACAACAGTCTTCCAATAACCTGGAATCATTCCTAGGAGACCATCACCCAGCAGAGAGGACTTGGAGGACAGACAGTCCTCCCCAGAGAGCACTTACAAGGAGGAAATCCCCCAGTGGATCCCGGCGTCGTTGCCTGCAGAATCAAAGAGAGGCAGGGCCACGAGGGAGATGGTGGGGGCAATGGTCAAGGGGCCAATGAAACGCATCAGGAAGCCAATGAGGCCTGAGAAGCCGACCAGCATCTGCACACAGGAAGCAACCATGATGGCACCCTGCAACTGAAGGGAAAGAGCAGGACTCAGCGCAGGCCACGCCCACCGCCCGGCCACGCCCCGGCCACGCCCCCGGCCGCGCCCACAACATCCCCTGTAAATGATGCAGTCCAAACATGGGACCCACAGGAATGAAAGGAAAGGGAGCCTGGCTCCCCCCTCCGCCCCTCCTATCTGTATGCCCCACTGGCAGTTGGACATTTCGACTTCACAGTCAACTTTTCAGGAGATCGCCTTCAAAACGACTTTGGGATCAGTCATGACGCCAACGTCTCGTAACACCTCCTGCTGCTATTTTCCCCCTGCCCTCCTACGTCCTCTGGCAGGGGGAAGCGAACTGGTTCTGGAAAGGACCAGTTCGTGAGCACTTCGGGTGGGTGGCCAGACGGCGGCTGCTGAAACTCTTCCAGACAAGCTGTGAACAAACCAGCACCGCTGTGTTCCCATGTGGCTACGATGAGAGACACTGGGGTTTGAATCTTGGATCATTGTGGCGTGTCCGGGTATGTTCTTCTTCTTCGGGGCTTTTTAAACAATTACCATTTAAAATGTTTTTTTTTTAAAAAAAAAAAAAACACCATTTAAGCATGGATACTACTCAAAAACAGATAATGACGACAGACAGACAGACAGACAGACAGACAGGCAGGCAGACAGACAGACAGATAGATAGATAGATAGATTGTTGCTGGAGTTCTGTTTGTTTTATTCTTAAATTTCCTTCTTCTCCTTCCTTGTATCTTCTTGTTGTAATCCCTGTTGCTTCTTAATTTAAATCTGTGGATCTAATGATCCCTTTCAAATGGATAATCTCTTGCTTCTGCTGATTTTCCCTTATAATATATTATCTCTTGGTGTGAAATGAAACTTATTGTGAGTTCGTCTTCAAGGAGATTGCTTATTTCAGTGGGAGTTTTAGATTCCTCAGGAAATGGAAGTACCAGACAGTGTGGTCTTCCATTTTCTTCTGCTGAGAAGCGTGAGTATGCTGCAGGACCAGTTTGTAACTTCTGAGCTGGAGACATTTTCCACACACCACAGAGCTGCAGAGTGGGAGAGGTTTTTCCCTCATGCAAATCTCTGTTCTAACACTTCCCACAGACCCCTGAGCAGAATGAAAGGGCTTCCTTGCCAATTCGCCGGGCTGAGGGGGTAGATGATTATAGACTGCCAGTCACTGAAGGGATGCCCTTTCAGGATCCCAGCTAGCGGATTGTAAAACTCGGATCCTTTATCTGGATCTGATTCCTCAGCCTCATCAAAATAATTTCCACACGTGCTTCTAGAAAGCACCATTTTGCCATAGTTTCAAGCTCAGGTATCTACTTGAGTCTAGAGTTTGTCCATTATTTTTATATTGGGCTCTGTACAGTTCCCAACTACTATGGCATTGGAAGGTGAGTTTAATGTATTGAGAACTGAACTCAGTTCCCTCTTTATTTCCCCCTCCCCCCCCCAACCACTAAGTCTTCAAAAACACAATCATTGTTCACTTTTCCCTCTCTCCTGGGTTCCTGAATCCAGGGAGTCATTACCCTCCTGTGGGTGCCATGTTCACATTGCTTCCATCTCAGACGAGTACCAGGGTGTGCAAGTGGCCTGTGGTCATGAGTCATTTCCAGACTTAAGATGTGCATGGACATGGGGAGTCTACTCTTTTTTCACGGCCTCAGTGAATAAAACCATTCCATCAGTTCATAAAATGCTGAGACTGCAAGGAACTCTCTCATTCACAGCACTGGTAGAAAATATTTGACCAACAGAGGGAGCTAAAATGCCACAGTTAGAACTGGGTGCATAATTGCGGTGCATTATGTTGGACTCTTGGAAGTAATGGTGGGGGAGGGCGGGGAATGGAGATGACCGACAGCCTTACACCCAGGCAGGAGGAAGTGGGCCTGTATTCTAGGCAAACTTGTTTCTATTAAAAAAACAAAAAGCAAAACAGAGAGGGCTGGGAATCTGGCTTAATGGGAGAGTGCTTGCCTAGCATGCATGAAGCCCTGGGTTCCATCCCTCAGTACCACATACACAGAAAAAGCTGGAAGTGGTGCTGTGGCTCCAGTGGTAGAGTGCTAGCCTTGAACAAAAGAGACTTAAGGATAGTGCCCAGGCCCTGAGTTCAAGCCCCAGGACTGGCAAAAAACAAAAGAACCACAACAAAAAACACCAGAGCAAATACTTTTGATTTTGTAAGTCACATGTGCTTCCTGCCACATACTTTTCTTTTAAATGTTAAAAGAAAAAACTATTTTAAAAATCACTATTGGTTGAATAGAAGGCTGAGAACAGGCCCTGGGTAGGATTTGGTCCTGGAATCATTGTTTGCCGACTCCTGCTTTAGGGGACTCTACACCCTCCCTAAACACAAAAATAAAGAGCAAACATACAGAAAATACAGGTGGCTCCTCACTTGCACTCTTCCTCTGTGGATAATGCAAGAACATTTCCAAGAATACCCATCCTCACTCTCCCATGGCTTCCAGCACAGTGGCCCCAACCCCTTTCTCTCCCATCACCCTGTTTCATGTTCTTCAATGCACTGGGCCTCCCTGAAATGTCTCTCTTGCATTTTCTTATAAGTTCTCTCCCTCCTCCTCCTCCTCCTCTTCCTCCTCCTCCTCCTCTTCTCCTTCCTCCTCTTCTCCTTCTCTTCCCCTCCTCTTCCTCCTCCTCCTTTTTCTCCTTTCCTCTCCCTCCATCTCTCACATCCTGCACCCTCAACCGCAGGCACTAGAATGCTAGCCCCCTAAGGAGCACTAATAAGAGTTAGTTCACTAGCGAGAGCGCTAAGGGTCTGCATCTGTCTTACCTCCATCAACGTTCTTCTTGGCAGGGAGTTGACCAAGTGAATCAACTCTGGCACCTCTGTCGTGACCCGCCCCCACCCGCTTCCGGCTCCCATTACCTCTCGGACTCTCTTTTGCCATTCTTCTGTGAATTCAGGAGAGCTGGTGTTGGCCAGACTGGCATTGAGTGTCCACTCTGGGCATTTCCAGGCTGGGAGAGAGAGCATGGCCAGAGAGGGCGCCACAAAAGCAAATGTCCCACCCTGGAGAATGGGCAGCCTGGAGGAAGGAAGGGAGGGAGGGAGGATGAGAGGGCGTGGCCACTCTTGCGATCCTCCTCTACTGGTCCTGTGGGGCCTTTGCAGCACAAGTCCTTACTCAGTCTAGAAGCAACAAAGGCTCCAAGACAGACTCTGCAATTTGGGGCAGGTAGCAGCAGAGGGCAGAGGGGAAGATACCCAATCTCAGTCCTGGGGACGCAAAGTCGGGAGGAGGAAGTCAGGTACTGGGATACAATGTGGAACCATCAAAACTCAGTGGATACCTTAGTGGGTACCATCTCAACTCCAGCCCCAGAGACTCCTCCCCAAAGCCCAGATTTCAGCCCCACCCCCTACACACACACACACACACACACACACACACACACACACAGCTCCATATTTCCTAAAATATGAGATTGCCTAAAATCTGGATTGCCAGCAGCTCCCTTTGTGTTCCAGAAACCATGGACAACCCCGGACCTCTGCTTCCATGGCTCCTTCTTATCACACAGAACATGTGAGGGCCATTTTTAGATGTGTTCTCTACACCCCCCCCCCCCCAGCAGTCTGCTATACTGAGCAAGATGTGCAGAATCTATCTACTTTAAGCACTAATGGTGGTGTTTAAGGGTTAACAACTGATGCAGGGCTCTTGGTGCAGAATCCCAGCATGTAGTCACTGGATGGGTTGCTTTCATTGGTGCTACTAATCATTTTGAAAATGTATCTTTCTAGGAAGGAATTGAAAATCATCATGCTGAATAAGCCAAGCCCCCAAAAGTCAAATAGCATGGGCTTTTTTTTGTTGTTGTTCATTTGTAGAACTGAGAATTAGAATGATGATGATAATGATATGAAGATAGCATAATGAAACCTACTGAAAAAAACACAGGAGGGAAGAGAGGAATGTGACTATAACAGAGGAGTGTATACAACATACAATATACTGTATGCATGTATGGAATGATCACATTATAACTCTGTATTTTTAATGTATACCAATCCAAAAATCAAATTTAATTTAAAAAATCAGCTAAACTGTTTTATCTCTCATATGCAGAAGCTAGAGCTAAAACACACAGGCACATGATCAATTGTATAGGATTGTATGCATTCACACACAGTGAGACCAAAGGAGGATACTCTTAGGAGAGGACCATAAAAGGACAATTTCTATGTGCACCTGATCATATAAAATAATGCTCATTGAAATGAACTCCAGGAAATGGAAACAAGAAGTCTTTTTTCTTTGTTGTTGTTGCTTTCTTTTTGTCTTGTTTGTGCATTTATCTGTCTTTGAGAGAGTAAGGATGGGCACAGAAATGGAGGGACAGCAAATGCAACAGTGGTGTTCACTAGACACTATGTTGAAAATGAATTCTACAACTTGTAGGTGGGGATGGGAGGAACAAACAGAGAGATCAAGGGAAGGAGTGACCTTGACCTTCCCTGACTTATGACACTGTAACCCCTTTGCATATGACTTTTATCATAATAAAAAATAATACTTTAATAATCAGCTAAAACTTGAAGAAGAAGCTTATCTTTCTAGCATTACTGTGAAGTCGGTTTCCAGTCTCTCTCCTTCATTCTTTATTTGGTTTTTGTTTTGTTGTATGTGATATGGACAAAGGGCTCTAGTGATGTCTCATCACTTCTGTGTTAACATGAGCTATTTACTGATACTTCCCTTTGTCCCAGATACACTGGCAATACACTGAGGCACAGCACAGCCCCCCCCTGCTATCCCTGGACCGTCCGGTTGCTTTTCCAATCTGCTCCTTCCCCCATCCCCACCATATCTCACTGACACAAAGCTCCTGCAACCAGCCCAGGGGCAGACCAAGCCTTCAGATGGACTAGAATCTAAATGTCATTTTCCATGATCAGCCTCACCACTCCCCAGGGAAAACACAGCATGGTCTCCCTGACTAACCCTTTCTCCCTTGACCTTCACCAACCCTGTTCTATGTGTGAATTGATAGTAGAGAGAGCATAATTTTCCTTCACAATGGCTTGCATGGTCTCCAAAGAGGGCTTAAGTGTCGGTGGCTGCCATCTTAGAAATGCATCTAAAACATCTGAAAGACTTGTGTCGTGTGTGTGTGTGTGTGTGTGTGTGTGTGTGTGTGTTGGTTTGTATTTGTATTTGTTTTGTTTTGGTGGAGGGATTCGCTGCTGGCAAAGGCACTGGAAGGGGTAGGGAGAGGGGAGGGAGGCACATGCTAGGTGAAATTAACGTCTAACTTTATTTAGCATTTTAAAGCTACTCCGGGCTTTGCTATCTATCACTGGATCTAAAAGGCTTCGGGCTGGAGAGGGTAGTACCACTTTCTCAGCATGAGGAAACACTGTGGAAGCACCCCTGAGATTCACCAGAGGGGCGGAGTCCTGACCACCAAGTCAGGGTCCACAAGCAACAGGTGCTTGTGATAAGAACTGATAGCAGGATTTACAGTAAGAACACACTGCTCAAAAATTTCATGTTAATAATTACATGGGGTCTCTCTGTCTCTCTGTTTCTCTGTCTGTCTGATTGCCTCTCTCTCTCCCTCCCCCCCCCCCCCGTCTCATCCTCCCTCCCTCCTTTGGCCCATAAATTGGAACCATCTAACCAGGAAGGACTGAACGCTGCACTTTGACTCTTCTCCCCAACCTCACTCACACTCCTTTGCAAGAGAGGACTGACCAAGAGCCGCAAGGAGTCCCTCGCTCCCTGTCTGGCACATCCCCAGCCTGAGGTCCTGGACACGCAGCCTTGCATACCTAGGCATGGCGGATAAGCAAAGGCAGGTGAATCCCTGCCTGGGCAAGCACAAAGCAACTCTCTAATGAAGAAGGACGAGGTACAAAACCCTAGCTAAGTTTCACTGTATTTGATGTCGGTATAATTTGTGGAGGGGACGGGGAAAAAACAAATCGTTTAACTATGGATACAGGTGGACCCATTGCAACAATAAGATGTACAAGTTGTTATGTTGAAAAACGAATTTCACAGCTTTGGCGTGGGGGGAGGGGAAGGAGATGGGAAGGGGAAACAAAGGAGGAGGCAACAATGCTTGATAAGAAATGTATTCATTACCTTGCCCATGTAATTGTAACCCCTCTTTCACAATAAAAAACCCCACAACTCTAGCTAAGTGCTATGGAAGGAAGTTACATGGTGCTTCATAAGCAGGTAGCAGAGAAGGTGGCTCAGGTTTCTGGTGACAAGGAAAAAAGGGAAGGGATGTCAAAGGGACTATGACCAACTTTGCTCACCATGCTCCATCACACTCAGTGATCTCAGCAGCTCTGCACTCAGTGGCTCTGCCCTTCTCCCATCCTCTACCTCTAGCTGGTTCGCTACCATTTTCCAAGTGCTGTGGCCAAGCATAGACCACTGAATCTCCATCTGTTATCAAACAAAGTATTGTTACACTTACTATACTAAAATAATTTATTACATCTGAGTTTCCTCTTTCTTGCTCTCCTCCTCCTCCTCCTCCTCCTCCTCCTCCTCCTCCTCCTCCTTCTTCTTCTCTTCCCCTCCTTAGGGTCTTATGATGTATCCTCTAACTTTACAATCCTGTGCCTCAACCTCTCAGGCACTTGGGTTATAGTTGTGAACCACAACACCAGCATGAGATTCTCATCTCTTTGAGGGCAACAATCTCAAATGAATTCCAAGGCCCCTCAGAGCAGGCAAGCAGGAGACATAGGGGTAAAACCTAGTAAGGTTTTACCTGATTTCAGGCTACAGCCCATAGTGCTACAGCATTGAAGTTGGAAGTTATATCCATAGACAAAGACCCCCAGCAGGCTTAGGGACCCAACTGAGGCTGAGGGACCCCCCCTAGCCTGTAGCAATCTTTCCTCTTAGAAAACAGATCCTTTAGTTGATCCTAGAATGTGCATACCACCTCCACTTTTGAAGAAAGACATCGGAACTGCTGACTTTTAGTATCATACTCCCAAGTGTTTGTGTCTCTCCAACATTCATACGCTAAAGCCCTAGCCTAATCTGGAGGTAGCTGGAGGTAAAGCCTTGGGAGATATTTAGCTTTAATAGAGTCAGAACCCTCCCCCTCCCCAATGATAGGCTTCACATCCTTGGGAAGAGAAGAAGTAAAATGAGCAATCTCTCCAGTATGAGAGTTCACAGCAAAAAGACGGGCCAGCTGCTGGCCAGAAGAGGCCCCTCATGTGCACCCTTCATGGTGCACACCCTGCCTTCAGAACCATGGGGGGTGGGGGGAAGCATTTCTGATGTTTGAGACACCTAGTTTCCGTATTTAATTATGGTCATCTGAGAAGGTCATGACACTTAGTAAGCAAGTTCAGTACCACACAGGTGACTCACTTTATCTCTTTATGCTTAAGTCTCCTCTTATGTACAATAAGACTAAAAATCATGCCTGCTTCGAGTGGTATCATGATAATTATCTGTTTGACAAACTATACAATGGGTTACAGAATGCTTACTATCTATTAGTCTCACACTGGAAGGAGGGGTGGTTAAGTTCCTAGGCTGTGCCCAGAGACAGATAGACAGAGACAGAGTTGGGGGGGGTGGGGGGAGAAGAAGGCTGGGCTCCAGTGTTCAGACAGGAGTCTCACCTCACCTACGATGAATCACACAGTCAACCTAAGGTTTTCCGCTTTGCCACAGTGTCAACCACAGCATTCTTTGTTTTTCTCCATACCAGAGGGATGAAGTATGAGGAAATCAAGTGCAAATAACCCCCATGGGTCTGAAGCGAAACAAGGAAATGCCTGTAGCCTGCCCTGGTTGTATCTGCATCTCTCAGAGAGGTCAGCAAGTCCTGACGGGAAAGAGGAAAGATCTGAGGGGAAGAAGGAGAAGAGGGGCTGCATGGTAATTTGGAGCATAATTAAACTTGTCAGCTATGACTCATCCAGATTTCATTAAAGCACCCATGGAACAGATTGTAAATCAAAAATCAAAGTTCAGGGGCAATCACATCATTGATAAAGATGATTGAGGAAGAAAATCCTGACTACCTGGCTCCATGC